CAAAACCGCAAGTCGACCCTGGACCAAAAAATATGCCTTCAGGGTACCGGCGGCTTCAAGCCACTGGGGGTTCTCCTTATCTGGGCTGTGCTCAGATGCCCCGCTAAAAGGGACTAACTTTTAGTGGGTTAAATGGAAACTACCTCACTAAACATTAAAAGGCTAAAAAAAGCAAAGGAACCGGATGGCTGGGAGCCACCAAATCATAACTACCAAGATAGTGAGCTTGTTGTACCGCCAGGTGAGCTCGTCATAGGGCGCACCACTGATTTGCTGGCATTCTCTGAAAAGGGTTTGCGGAATCTGCCTTTCGGGGGCTCTGCGGAACTCATTTGGAAGGGAACACGATTGCAAGGTTTCCTGCTCGGTTGGTGAACTGGGTCAAAGGGCCCTATCCTCACTTCCTGAGCGGATTGGCCAGCAAAGTAACCAAACTTGTTCCCATTAACACCAAAATGAGCTTCCCAAAAGTCTAAAGTCCATGAACTCAGGGAATAAAGATCTAAACAAATTTAATTCAAGCCCCCCAGAAGTACCGTGCAAATCTGAGGCCTTTTCGCAAACCCGTCAAGGGCCGAAACCGAAGCCCGGGCGCCTAGAAATCGCAGCATGGTGCTCCAGCGGGCTGGTTCCACGGCAGCCACTGCCACGCGACCTCGTCCCGAGCAGCGACCCTCGAATTCGTTGTCAGGAGGGCTAACTTGGAATGTGTAGGTCCAAACATCGGCGGTTTTTGGAGGGCCAAATCGGTGGTTTGGATGGCGATACTGTTCTGTCAGAACTTGGTTGACGTTGAAAGGGGAGCAAACATTAAATAGCAGTTAAGTGGTTGGATTTCAACCACTAAACCACAATAAGCAAACATGCAAACTGTTTCCCAACAGCCATGCCAAAGGACTAATGGAAAACAACAGGTACAACCTGTTGCCATGACCAAAAACGGACCAAAAAATGAAAAACCAAACGGTCCAAAGGTCCCGTTTCGGACCTCGGGAACTGAGCACATCGCCGGTGGCCAAGAAGGCGGCGTCGCAGAAGGCGAGGCCCAGCTCCACGTCCAGCCCCGCTTTCTGCAAGCGGAAAGCGGGCGCCGAAGACGGGGGTGGAGGGAGAGGAACCCATCTGAATGAGCTATGTGTCGCTATTTATACCCATCCTCGTACACATATATATATATATATATTTTTCATGTTAATGTACATACAAACATGGTCAATAATGCATAATAAGGACATCCATAGTCCACATTTCCAGCTTTCACATCCCAAAGTCCAAAGTCTCAAAGGCTCCCAAAGTAAAGAACATAACATATAACTCACTTGAATGGATTGGCCGAACACACTTTGGGGTGTTCTCATCTCAACGCCTATTGGGCAAAACCGCATCCCCTGATGAACTTGAAAGGGAGTTGCAACTCAGGTTCTTGACACGGTGGCTTAAACCAGGATTCAAACAACCCGGCCTTTTACTCCTCAACCTGTCTTTTTCTTGGTTTCTTCCTCGACCTGTTTTTTCTTGGTTTGTGGAATTCAGAGTCAAATGGATATCACCATAAATCAACAGGGATTCCGGCCAAATCCAGATGGAGTGTCTTTGGAAACACCTTGCACTTCCATAGACTCCCCAAATATGAGACTTAGTTGGGGGAGCTGGGGCAAACCGCAGGTTTTAGTCGTTGTTTCCATTTACCAAAAAGCCCTTTGGGGGCTTCTCTATTTTTTGAGCCACAGCCAACCCACCGTGCCAAATACTCTTGTGTAAAAAGCGGTCCTATGAACTTGCTTTCGCGGACCCTTTCGCGATGCTTTCGCGACCCCATGTTTTGCTTTCGCGAGCTTTGTTTTCTTTAGAATTGCTTTCGCGACGCTTTCGCGGCGGACTGTCACACAGCATGCAGGCGTTCGCGGGTCTTTCGCGGCGGGACCTTCTTTGGTTACTTTCGCGATAAGCTTTCGCCAGCTTTCGCGGCCTGCGTTTTGGCTTTCACGGGGATTCTATAGGACACCCCCCTTTACTACTTTGTATTGTCAGGGTTTATGGTGCTGCTCACCTGAGAATGCCCTTGATTCGTAGTAGGCCTGCAGGTGGGAAACCCTGAAAGGCCACGAAGCTATGTTGGATTCTTCTGTGAATCGCAAACCCACCCCCCCTGGACCTCCCCCGACCGCTAAACCCGCGCGCCAGGGCAGCGCCGAACTCCTCTTGGGTGAAGAGGCCCAGGCCTCGCGTCGCCGAAACGTCGCGAGACCCGCTGCGCGACGGATCCGAGCGCGATAAAACGGATCCGAAACCCCGCAGTTCTTCAGCCGGAACACCAAGATGGGCCACGATTCCAGGCATTTTGGCCTCGGCTTGCAGATATTGCGCATCCATCTACCAAGGGAAGCTTGTCTGGCCGTATATGCCCCATATATAAGTGGTACAGAAGCTTCATACCTCCCAAACCCATGCCTGACCCTTCGTAACCTGAAACCCAACTGGACATGGCCATCCATCTGACGAATCGACCGCTGGAAAGACGTCTGGTGCTCACTGCGGATCTGCAAAATCAATTTCGTACCATCTACGAAACCCGTGGAGTTGAAACCCGAACGTTGGTTGGCATTTACGTTGGCGAATCGAATCATTCCGTTGGAAATCGGAACTGTGGTGCGGAATGGATTTCGGAACCATCCACACTATAACATTGCCAGGCCGCCACTGGACAATGTGGCCGCGACTCACACAAACTATGCGTGATAGAATCCTCCTTTTGCTTCAGCCCCCTGGGAAAAACAAGCATATTCCCAGTAGTGATAGATTTCCTTTAAAACCAACAAGGGGAATAAAACAACTCTTTCAGAAAATGCAAGTAATAGTTCACCGATTCAATAGTTGGAGCCTGAATCACTGGCAGACCAGCTGTATTTAGATCTGGCCTTCTTAGCTGTATTTCTTCAGAGGTTGAAAAGGTAACGTTAACTGGAACTACCCTGTTGTTTTATTGTTGTTTTCAATGATCCACATCAGCTCTTGCCCCCAACCCAACAAATGCTCGATCGCCAGGATCTCAGTAAACCTTATCACGTAACATGAATTGAAAAGAGATCCCAGTGGTCGAGCGGTTTGGAGTCTTTAACCCAAGAGGCCTTCAAGAGGCCAATCATCTTGGCTCCCCCGCGAAGTAAAGCCAGTCTGACACCGACAACATGTGCGGGTAAAGGCTCTTCGTCCTGTGCGGATACAAAAAGGAGGGCCCAAATGACGGATGTCGGCAATGTTATTCAAAAGCAGCTACTTGACGTCGCGAGTTGGAAGAAACTTGGAACTGAAGAACCTGCAACACTGCAACGCTTCAAAGAACCTGGCGCCCCCTTTTTGTGGGCCAGCTAAGAAAGCCTGGCTTCATGCTCATCGTAACCAAAAAAACCAAAATAGAAATCTACTGTACGTGGACCAAACCTGGCACCAGCTAATAGACTCGTCTCAGTTTTCACAGGGTTTCATCCACCCCCTGTGCAAAGTGACATTTGTCCATCCACAGTACGCTTGAATAAATCGCCTTTATCCCCACCGATTGCTCCAAAGACTTCGGAGGTCGAACGTGGGTCACGAACAGGCAAAGAAAGGAAGCCGGGCTTCAAATTGTCGACCCCTTGTCTCATTCTGTTAAGGTTCGGAGGGAGATTGACAAATTGGAACTCACGAGGCGGTAACTCCTTTGCAACCAGCTACCGGAAGGGCAGAAAAGACGTGGAACCTTTTTGGGTTGCCATCTTAGCGGAGAACTTACCAAATGAAAACGGAAAAGGGCTTCCCCGAACACCGAGCGGCATGTTTGAAAGCACCCCTGGGGGGAGTTCCCCAAGTTCGGCCAAATCCCCCGCTTGCACGTCTTGCTCACAAAAATGGTTTTGTTCCGAGAAGGGACTCGCGTGTTTTCCTTGTGGCCGTGTGTTGGTTGAAGGAAGCCCCCTTCAAGCAACGGCAAGCAACCAAAAACACCACACACAGAGAGGAAGCAACAAACAGGACGGTTTTTTTGCTGGCTTGCTGGAGTTTGCGGCGGGAGCCCCTGCCTCCAGCGGTCGGTGGTCTTGTATCAGCCTCCAGTCGCTCACGAGAGTCGGGCCCCTGTTGCAAACGCTTTCCAATGGAAGTACTGTAGATAGGCGAAATCGGGAAAGTCCACTTGGTTCCGTCCTTGTTGCGGGTACCACGTTTTTGGTGGTAAAGGGAAACCAACAGGAACACCTCCATTTTTGGGTGTCTCCTAAAAAACTCTCACACACACACACACACTTCCTCCAACTCCAAAAAAACAGGTATGTGCTCTTTTTCTGACTCAAACGGGAGAGTAGTCAGTTCGACTTAAGAGGAGAGTAGTCAGTTTGAGCACCCTGTCCTCTCTTCAGTGATTAGGGACTTGGCTTCCCAGCTCTCAACTGGACTCGAGTCCAGTGGCAACCCCGAGAACCCGAGGAAACCGTTTTGGGGCGACTCAATTTAGACAGGTTTTAGGGAGTGAGACTCATGATGTCGGCCCTGAAGTCTTACCGTTCCAACCAAAACATGAAGTTTGGTTGTCCATGTTGTCCAAAGTAGCACCCCTGAGAGGAAACCAAGCGGCACCTAACCGGTGCCGGTGATCCTGGGGGGGGGGGCCCACCCCCCTCGGGCCCAGGCTGTTGGCAGCTGCGGGGAATCCGTAGGAACCGCTCCACGAGTTGCTTCAAAGCACCTCGTTGAGTTCGGGTCGCTGAGTCGGCTGAGTCGGCTGAGTGGGTTGATTTCTGCTGGCCTGGGGGGTCAACAACCTCTTTGGCAAAAAAACGGTTCTGAACTGCGTTGTCAACCAGCAACTGCAAAAGTTGCATTGCTAAGCCAGGTAAAAGGCAGAAGCATCCACAGGGCTCCCTATACGTTACATATGCTGTACATTTACACAAGGGAAACTCGCTGCAAATTGGCAACGCAATGTTTCTGACTTGCCCAAAGGACCCAAAAACAAATGGCTAACCTTTTTGGGGCCATGAGTACAAACGGACCAAAACAGGAAAACCAAAGGGTCAAAAGTCGATTCGCTTTGGGCAGGTGAGTTTACGATACGTCCCAAGCCTGAAATAAGTTTTAATAATGGCTCCCTACCTAACACGGGCCTTCCTCCGAATCGGTAAGTCCCTCGTGTTACCCCCGAAACTTCCATTTGGTTAAGACTTGTTTTTTACATGTTTATCGTAGTGAAACCGATTCCCTTTAAAACCAACAGGGGAAATAAAACATATTCATTTCAGCAAATGGCAGACAAACTTCCATTGGCTTTCCTTTGGAGGCGACCAGGTCCTGGCTGTTCAAACTTGGCCCAAAGCTGTTTACCAAAGTCATATGGGCAAGTGATATGGGTACGTCGCTTGTGTTGCCCCCGAAACCGGCGATTTTCGCCATGAAGGGCAGAGGCCACACATCGCGACGAAATTCCTGGCCCGAGCGCCCACGTCAAGGGACTGCGGGACACGGAGCGAGAGCAGCTCCTCACAGGGCGGTCAGTCCTTGGACCGGTTTGGATAGACAAAACTAAAAAGAACATCCTGGATCGCCAGTTGCTGTTTTTGTCCATGCACTTTACCCCAAAAACCAGCAACAGTGACTGAAAAAAGCAGCAACTTGGCTATCTAGGATGATTCCAATAAACATGGTTCTAAGAACAAAAAGAAAAGAAATAAAAACATGAACTAGGTATAACTAGGTCCTCCAGATTTGAGAGGTTAGAATAAGGGTACCCGATTTCTTTCTGTAGTTTATTGTAGTAGGGGAACCCTCCCCCAAAAAAGAAACCGTAAAAGGACCCAGTAAAGAAAGACAGAAACAAAGAGGTCACATGGTTTCCAATAACGAATTCTGCCAAGGCCAACCCTGGCTCCTCATCTTCCATGCTGACAATGCAGCAGAAGACCTGAGCTCAGGTCTTGGCCTCCAAACTGGGGTCCAAACCCCATGAGAAATCCACGGCCGGGGTCACGTGGTTGCCGGAACCTAGGGGCCCCAATTTGTGGATTCATGGGCGCTGGGGGGGGAGGGGAGGGGGAGGGAGCCCAGATAAGCCCTCATGAAGCCCTTAATAAGGCCTTATTTCGGGCCTTTTGGGGCTCCCTCCCCCTCCCCTCCCCTCCCCTCCCTCCGCCCCTCAATCCTGAGATGTCCGCCGAACCATCAGCACCTTGGGACCGTCGAGACGAGCGCAACCAAAAGCAGCGGAGGAGGAGGTCCTAGTCAGAAAGAACCTCCAAAACTCGGTTGCGAAATCTGCGAAGCCCTGCTAGAAGTGAAAATAACTTTTAGTGGTTTAATACGGAAAACCCAAATTAGTTGGGAAAAGTTGAAGTCCTAACATCCAAGCAAAATGCGCCGATGAGAAAAATAGGAGTCCGAGTCCTTGTCTTAAGAACGTGAAAGCTACAAGAAAGGGCCCCAGTTCTCGCCCGCTGAATCCAACATGGACTCGCAGTAGGGTCCATTGCTCAACCAGAGTGATCTGCGACCAGTCACTCTGGGCTTCTCAGCCCAACATTGGGCTGCAACCCAAAGAGCAGTGCAACACATTGCCAAGCTGCCCCCAGTCAACATTCCCAACGAATGCTATGGCCAGTATCTCACTTTGCCCAAAAAACCTGCGAGGAAACAATTGAACATTTGGATCTGTTCAAGTTGATTCGCTTTGGCTGCAAGTGCGTATGTTTGTTTGAGCGTACGCACATGTATGGAGGGGATGTTGAGCGGAAACTGATGGGCAGGCAGAGCCCAATTTGAAGACAAGCCTTTTTGTTGTGACAAACCAATACGCGTGCTCAAATGGGATTGGTTGAAAACAGGGGAACCTCCAAAATGATTGATTGGTTTTCTGCTACTTCCCATTAACGTAACCGAAAAAAGGGTATGTACCCTCAAAACCAGTCACCCCCAAACTGGTCACTGATCACCCTTAGTATCGGGTCCCGTCTGCTGCCAAGGGGCCGAAGTACGGATCCAAGCTGCTTCTGTGAAACCTCAGCTGGGCATATCCCAAGGGGTAGCATCTCCTGCCAAAACCCAAAGCTAGAACATGATTCTGCTTAAGCGTCCCATCCATTTGGCTGTAAGTCAAAAGCCCAGTTAGTCCCCGGTGAACATCCCAATATATCCCAATCCAACCACTAAATTAGGTTCCAAAATGGGTGGTGCATTCACCGAAAATCCCAAAATGGGATCCCAAAACGGTTTTGACCCTCAGCCATTTCTAACCAAACTAGCCTCAGGACACCCATGGTCCCCGACCTCAGCGTTTTCGATCGAGGTGCTGGAACTCCCCAGAGTTCCAGAGGGCTCGATCAACGAGGCTGCCAAACCTCGGGCACCCCGCCACGTGCGGAGGAAAATCCGGGAACCCGCAAACTGGTGCTAGAGGCTACATGGGGCTAAATAGGGAAGTTAATCTTTTACAGACATATAGCCCATGTTACCCAGAAAGTTGAAAAGTTGTGTTTTTTAACAGGTAAGTAAAGCTTTGACTAGATACTACATGGTGCTAAACGTGCTAAATAGGGATTTAACATTTTGAAACACATCCGTCTTGTTTGGGTTTCCTTAAAGATCCAACATTTAACTTTTGAGCATAGGAACCTCAAAATAAATGTTCATGGGAGGATTTGGGTATGCTCAAAAGTTGTGTGGGAGAGCTCTTGGATTGAAAGAATGGCTGGCCAAAATCAGGCCAACAAAGTTACGAGCACCTGGATGTGTGTGTGTGTGTGTCAAAATGAGTTGGGCATAGAATCCCCGTGTATAATCCCCGCTTGGTTGGCTTTGTTTGGAAACGTCAAGACGGGGACAGACCGACAAGTGTGCTACAAAAGGCAAGGCGAGCCCTGCTTTTTGCTGTGTAAATTGGGTGGACCCCCATGTCCCCAAACTAGAGGGCTCACCGGATTTCCCCTTCAGTCGCATTGGGGGACATGATGTCCGATGTGTGAACAGGCAAGCTGTTTGGTTTCGGTCGGCTGTTTGCCCCTTCCATACAAGGGTACCCTTGAGAAAAGCGACGTCCAGAAGTGCACCCTCTGGCACACCTCACTTAGCCATGGCGGCAATCTCATAACCTCAACTTGCACAGTTCGAGGCTGCATACGTCTTAAGGATTTGTGCAAGAATGCCTAGCTACCCCATCTTAGCAGCCTCTTATATGGCGCTCCCCACATTGCTCAGTAGGCCCCAACAAAAATATACACAAGTCTGCAGGCTGGCCCCTAAAACTTCACGGAGTCCTGTCGGGTGGCTTTCCGAAATACCGCTGTCACATACCAGCTATAGCTTTTACATACACATACACTCAAGGGCATAGCCAATAACCCGTCCTGGAAGATGATTCCAATTGGAAGGCCTCGCCCCCTAGTGAAGCTAAGCCGCGAACTCTCCCTTGGAAAGGCTCGCCACATCACCTGAGCACCAAAACGACCCCCTCCCCCCCCCCCCCCACCCACGATGTGTCATAAGGGGCCCAAACGACCCCCTTGACAGCAGTCCTTGACAAACCAAACGCCTCCCTGGGCTGACTTTAAAGGCGCCCAAGAAAAAGTTGAATTGAGGCACAGCACAAAGCAACCTTCCAAGGAGGTTTGGGAAATGGGCATAAACCACTGGAGGCCATTGGGTTCTGTCTTTAGGGGTCGGGGGGGGGGGGGTTGCACAAATGACTATGCAGGTCTGTAAAGGCCTCGCTACAACCATTCTAAAAGCAGGTCGAACCAACTCAAAGAGGTCAGGTGTCGATCACGTACATTTGGCCAGCGCCGCCATGATGCCCGATGAACCGTAGACAAATCAGCAAACGCTGACCAACTTGCTCCAAGAAACAGCAAAACTAGGCCGGAATTAGAACCCCAGCAAAAAAGTATATTTTTTGCGTGGTTAGTGGAAAACAAAGGGAACCCCAAAAAAGCAAAAACACAAAAAGGGGAGCTAATTCTGGGGAAGAAAAGGGTGCTTCGCTCACCTCGTGTTTTTACCAAAGGCACCCCCAAGTGAGATGAAATGCAAAAAGAAAAAAACAACGACTGGACGAACACTTGCATGGCAACCACACACACACACCCTCCCATGGTTTCACATCTACAACAAATGGCCCCAGTGTTGACCATGGCGCAAATGGGTGTTTGTGTGTGTACGTGCATTCTTTTCAGGGTACCACTTGCTTGGTTCGGTTTTAAAGGAACACCAAAAGGCAAACTCACGCATCTTGGGGATCCGATTTCTAAAGAAAAACACACCCAAACCTCCATTTGCTTAAACCTCCTGGAAAAGCTGAACATGTTTCCATAGGTGATATTATCTATTCCCGCGTGCCTTTGAAACCGACAAGGGAAAATGCCCGAGTGCCTTAAAACCAACAAGTAGGAACAATGTTTACCAAATGCGAGTGGAAGCACATGAACCCCGAGAGAGGCCCAGTGGGCACTTGCGGCGCTGAGGCGCGGCCCATGACCTTCAAGAGCTCGTCCCCTGCTCGCACCTCTGCTGCCCAGGAGCCTCCATCGTTTCGATACGAGCGACGACCTGGACACGACCCCGTCTCGGGAACTCATGTGGCCGTGTCACGTTTTTGGAGGACCCCGACTCCGACCAACAAATTCATGTCCGTTGTGAAATTTTCCCTTTGAAGCCACGGAAACCGGGGGCACAAAGCACACCGTGGAGAATAACCTCAATTCACTCGGTTGGCCCAACCAGTATTGGGTGTGGCTCAAAATTACTGACGCAGAAAACCAGAAAGCGGGGCACTTATTTGCGATACGAACTGAGACTCCACCCAAAGGAAAAGGTGAAAAGAAACGTCTCAACGTTGCATGTTTGGTGTCCTACGAATGTTCATCGTAAGACCCTGTTGCATGGCCTGGACAGAATTTGTGTCCCGGTAGAGATGTTAGAGCCTTTCCTGTGGAAACATCAGCCCAACACTCCCTTTAACTTGGAACCCAACAACTAATGCCTGAATAGAATCCCCAAGCACTTTGCTTGAACATTCCCAACACGGAAAATGGCGCATTCCCAAACAAAACATAACACACACTCACTGCGAAATCAAAAGCTCCAACCTTTGAAGTGCTCTTTTTGCGCTCGGGAGCAAGCCATCAAAACAATTCGGGAACCGGGTGGATGAAGGTTGGGGCTCAGTTCAACCATATCTGCGAATATCCGCCCTTCAAACTTAACATGGTAGACCATGTCAATACAAGGTTTGGTTGTGACTGAACTTGACGCTTCTCAGTAAGGAATGAGGGAATGACCCATCCCTTGCAAGCTTGCCCCGTGGCTCTGGTTGAAGGGGAGTAGAAACAATCTTATCTGCACATCTTACCATATTCCCAAAAGCTGAATTGGGCAAAATGTATCTTGTAAGGAGCCCTGTACATGATTGGGGTATTTTATTTCTGGGCGCCCGGGGAATTGGTTGAAGGGTCGTAGAAGCCATCGTATGACGCAGCTCACCGCGAAACGATCCTCGCCTTCCTGCACGGATTCCACGAAGATCCGGCGGTCCAGCGGAAGCTGCGGCAAGGCTAAGGACAGCTTTGGGGTGTAGAAGCCCAGGTGCTGGTTGTCCTATGCGATGATCGACCACATACACCACATACGGTGGACGGTTCTCCCGAAATTCGTTCGCGCCACGAAATGAAATCATGGTTGAAGCCATCATCTTGGTATTGACAGGGGAATCGAATCATTGCAGGGTGCTGAAGGTGGTGCAGGATATCGTCCATCTGCAGTACGGGTGGCTCGTCCTTTTTGAGACCCCAAGCACCCACAAAAAAGACTGCCCCATACTCTCTTTCAAAACAGGCAAGGGTGGTATCCCCAGCAGCAAACCCCTTTGAACCCTTCCGCAACCCTAGTGCGAAGCCGCTCCGAACCACTCCGGAGCCTGGCTTGGCAAAGACCCCAAGCTTTCAGCCGTTGGGAATATTGTAATGAAAACATATTGATCCACATATTGCATATATGTTCTTGAAAAAACAGGGCGAATGAAGGATGTGAACAACCAGGGGTGTTCGGGAGCATTTCGGTGTTTATGGGCGTTTCTCTATGGTATCCCAAAATTTGTTTCAACCTTGGTAGAGGGAACCCAAAGGAAACCGTTTCCAGGCTTATCGGTACCCAGAAAACCATATTCTCAGATTGCATTTAACATTACTTCACCCTAAAGTATGATATAGTTTCGGGGGAACCCCCTGGCTTACCAATGTTCTAGCCTTGTGTGTTGGGCATCTAGAGGCTTGGAGATTCGGGTCGAACACAAAAGAGGGGCAATAACTATATTGGGGTTGTCGCAAAATAGCCCCCCCCAACATGATGGACGTGCCTTCTTTTTCTCTTTGAAACAGCCCAAAAAGGGCATCCGGGCATCCTCACAGATATCTTCAGGGTGAAAATACAAAGGTGATCCTAAATCGGAAGGGTGGCCGGGCAGGCTGGGACTTGTTGATGAGGCCACAGAATAATGCAGAGCGCTGTAAATGAAAAGGGGCTTGTTCAAGGGGAGTGGGGCCATTTGGTATACAGCTGCCAAAATGAGAAGCACTTTGACATTGAATGCCGCCGTTTTTCACGGGAGGGGTCATCATTCTGACTTGAAATTTGCGCTAAGAACAAAGAAAATATAAGGAGGATAAGGAGGAGCCGTGCAACGTGAGGATTGCAAGCTCATGCACATGTGAGTGCCGGAAACCTGCACACGTTTTCCATCTGGTTCGCAAAACAAAGGGGGACTGCAGAAGAGGGATGGGGTAGATTCCTTTCTAAGTAGCAGAATAACCCCAAGTAAAGCATCCCCCGGAATTCTAAACCAAACAGTTTCCAAGATCGTTGAAATTTGGGGCTTGACCAAGATTCCCACTTCATGAAACGTCCAAAACCTCCTGCCCGTTTTTTGGATTCATAGGATTCTCTCGCCCTGCCCCGCCCCCTCCTAAACCCTAAAAGAATCTTATCAATCTCTCCCCCTGTTTCTGGTTGGGACTGTCCCCTACTAACCTTTAATTACCCAGGTTTTGATTGCGGCCCCAAATAATCAAACTACGTTTGTCTGGGGTTCTTAAAACAATTTGTGGTCATGGAGATATGATAATACGGTACCCCATAGTTCAATACCGGCGGTGGAAGGAGGACTAATAGTTATAATATGATGGAACATAGATTGATAGCATGAACCACCCACCATTACCCTTGCAATAACGGCTTATCTTCCGCCCCCTGGCTCCTCAGAACAAAATATATTCCGCCCCAAAATCCGTCTCCTGGGGTGCCCTCAAATGGAGAAGCCCGCCCTCAACATAGAGAGTGCAGTCCAGGTCGTGCGCGGACGCTGGCCTCGGAGTCACCAAAAAGTCACCACCTCCGGCCATGGGTGGTTGAAAAGAAAGATGAAGCAAATAAGCCCATAGTGCTCGCTCTGGTGCTTCTACAAGTAAGTTTCCGCATGCCAAATGCTAACCAGTGCCGCACACGTCACCTCCCCCACATTAATTGTTTGTTCTTTAGAATGTTTCGAAAAACCTGAAGTAAGGGATCCCCAAGTGAAGGATCTTTGAGGTGCCGCGTTCGAGCCAAGCCACGATGGGGTTGACTGAGACAAAGATGACCTCAGCATGCCGTAGAGCTCTATCTCCTCCTGGAAGTCTTGCAGTCTTTCAAGGGACATATACCCGCTACTCCAAACCACTACCTGCAGGGTCTGCAGGGACTTTGGTTTAATGGAATATACAGTGAGTCATAATCAAAACCTGGTATTCAAAGGGCTCTCCAAAACGCGATGAAGCATCAAAAGAGCAGTTCTTGCCGCACCTATGGTGGGAGCTGTCCTTTGCCAATCTTAATTTACCGGGCGTTGATTGTGGCTCATCTTAGGGAAACCACCAAATGCCCCTGTAGCCCCTGAGAAAATCTTAGAAAGGTTCTACAAGTACTGACGTCTCGGGGATTCATTGCTCACGCCGACAGTCCTGCTGCAGTGCAAAGATCTCTTCCAGCTTGGTACCGTCCTGAAGTCACCCAATTCGAACAGCCAACCCCCCATCAACAGAGTTTGTTAAGTGTTTGCAATGTGTTTTGTTATGACTCTGAATGGTATGTTACTCTTGCGATTGACACATCATCTTGGATAAAAACGCAGGACAGACTCTTGAGTCCCCTAGTCCCATCCTTCGAACCCCGAGTCAACTCCTTAAACCCTTGGCGACTTGAACCCCCCCGCAAGAACTTAACTGGTTGCTGGTTTAAATGACTAAGAAAGGTCAAACGGGCAAAAGCCAAAACTGTGTGTTGGGTCTGGCAGTGAACCGTGGACACACAGCTTTGCCCAGCGGAAACCCAGACTATCTGAAACAATGGTGAAGTCCGTGACAGGCTTCCCTATACGTCCATCATCCGACCAAAAGGAAACCCATGTTGACTTTGCCTTTTCAGAGGGTAAAACACCTGACACAAACACAAAAAGCAACAGGAACAAGCTATAGACAACTAGAGGAACCAGAGGGACTGGATAATCAGCAGAAAATCACTGCCTGAGTGGATGGCCCAAAAAAAGTCTAAACTTTAAATTTACCACCAAAATGGTCTTCCCAAAAAGTTTAAAGTTCATGAACTCAGGAAGTGAGTATAGGCAAAGGATGGCACAGGTAGGGTTTCAACCACTAAACATCTCTCCCCCGATGGCCCCCGGGGACCAGCTCCTGCAGTGTGTGCTGCAAAGATGCCAGGCGCTGTTGTGCATGAGGCACAGGCAATACGAGCCGCAACCTAAGCACCAAGCGCCTTTCAGAGGGAGCCCCTCAACCGCCAAGGCTGCATTTGGCCTTCTTTGGCGCTATTTCCCTCTAACAAGGCATGTGGAACAAAAAAGAACCCTTGCGGCCTCTGGGGGGGAATGGTCTGTGGTTTACCCATCAAAAATCGGCGACCGACCGTCTCGAAGCAAGGCAATTCGGCCAAGCGACTCTTCTTTGAGGTCTGCCACCTCAGCGCAACACAGAACGAGCCGATCTGCGGAGAATCCGAAGCGCCAAAAAAGACGCCGTGGCCAGCATGTGAAAACTGGATCGACCCATCCCCCCTGAGCAAAAAGTCTAACCTTTTGTCAGTTTCATGGAAAGCCATGTGTCTCCACAATGCCTAACAGTCCATTCAGTCACACCTAAGGCCATGAAAACCGCCGGATTACTTGCCAGGGTTTCGCCGAGAACTTTGGCCCAAGGGACACGCATGGTCATTTGAAGCTTCGGACTCAAAGAACTTAGCTGGTTTATCGTTTGAAGTGACCTGAAGCTTGTCTTAAAAGAATCGAGAAAAAAATAACTTGACATCAGATGGAATGACCCAACTTGAAGCCGGAAGAGCTATGATTCTGGTCATTCCATTTCCCGATCTGGACTTCAATCCACAGGTTGCACGGTTGCAAATCCACCGGGTTTATGTCGTAGTCAAAAGATGCCACGCTTGCTCAGATGCGCAATGTCCGGATGGCCAGAGTTCCTTTTTACTCCCGGCCTGGGCCTAACCAAATGGAATCATATGCCTTGCCCGACGAAACTTCATTTTGGAACAGTACAACTGATGGCTGTTTGTCAGCACCCAGTTGGTGGTTTGGTTTTTTATCTGAGGGGCTCCATGGGAAAAAAACAGTGATAAGCCGACATGGCGGCTGTTCAAGAGGGGCCGAAGATCCATGGGGTAACCTTCCATTCTAAACGGAGGGATCTAAATACAGCAACCCACCCCTCAAAACCGGGACAACAAATCATTGTTGCGACAACTAAGGATACCGCCTGGAAAAGAGCAGGATTCGTGCTCGCTCGAACTAAGCGGCAGTCTTCTCTGCAGGAAGCTTACCAGAGAAGAGGTCGTGGCCCCCTCGGAATCTGCGAAATCTCTACTCTCACAAAATATCCACTACCCCCAAGAGGTAAACCCAAGGGGAAAAGTGTGTCTATAACCCTTTTTTATTGTAGAAGGGGCATATAACTCACTGTCCATTGCGGTTTGATATAGTGACCAGAATTGTGAGTTTTGCAACCACTTCTGTCTTACCACTGCAAGGCCATTTCAATCCACTGACGAATTATCCATATGTTGTGAATACCGCCCACGGTCGAAGAAAATCGCTGTGGCCCATGTCGTCCCTTTTCTACAGCAAATGATTGCCAATAATTGAGAGTTGCGGACATGGGTCTGTCGAACACTGTTGCCTTTTCAAATGGAGGCCACCACGAAATCTATCATCTTAGGGGCCCCTTGTTCAAAACCGCCAACCTGGTCCACTGTTTCTTGGTCAACAAAAGGGGCCCTCTGCTAGGCCTGGGGTCATAAGCCGAGTATGACTGAGTTAACTGGCCGAAAGCAAACAAAACGTTGCTTTGGGCTGCCGAGATCAGCCAATGAAAAAGCCTACCTGGAGTCTCCTTCTGACCCTTAAAAAATGGGGTCATTACCCAAAATAATTAAGCATCATTACCCAGTTTTAGTGGGTCAGAGGGAGACTCCAGGTACCAATCAACAGTTTGTTCGCCAACTCAACAACAGCTCCTTTCCTGGGCCCAACAAAGTCTACACTTGCTGACCACTAAAGCGGTCGTCGCCATGAAGGTCAGAAAATGGGGGAGTGCAGCAATCATATGGATGGACGAGTTACCTAAGACACCCTGGGGTGATGATTCTACACATGCCAAGCACCAATGGCTTCCTGCAGGATTTCGTCCACAGGACTTAGTCCCGTGCTAAATTGAGAAACCCAATCCAGTCAACCTTCAGTGAGTTGTTCTTGCTCACCTCCCCTCAAAATCCTGGGTCTCTCAAACGCGGGACCCTCATTCCAAGATGGTTGGTGCCTTTTTGATCTTTAAGCAAAAGCCGTCCAACGAGGGGTTCCCTATGTTGAGACGCAAACAGCTCCAACATGAAAGCCACATCCACATGCGACGGCGAAATTCGGGTTTGTCCCCTTGTGGGAAGCTCAGAGCTCATCCCGCCATGTCCCTCTTTAATTGACCGAGGACTGGATACTTTTCACATGACCTCGCACTTAAAAAAATGTCCTGCCACTCGCACCCACCAAAAGCGCGCCCGCCAGCTGGAAGCTACGCGGCCAGCTGTGCGCACCCGCACATGAAGCTCCTTCGGAACCTGAGGCTTGTCTCAAGTCCCCATCTAAGTCCCTGTGGAACCCATTCCATTTTCTATCAAACGAAAAAGGACATCTATGGTCTAGGAAACCAAACAGGTGCCACTGGTACTTCCACGAATTCCAGGTTACCCGTTTTCTACCTGCGTCCATTTTCTACTAAGCCAAATGGTCCAGGTACTTCGTGGGTGCGAAAGGTCTTCGAACACGGCCTACCCATCGATTCGATTCAGCTCGCGACTCCGAGCCTGTCCAGCCATGCCATCGCCCTTCGGCTCCGCGATTTCACTGGACTTGCCCAAAGGGGCCAAACCGCTCTCTCAAGAACAAGCGTGGAACCCGCACATGGGCCCTTTAAAAGGAAAAGGGTCCTCCAACCCCTGTGCAGGTTCTATCTTTGTGGCATGTGGGTAGAAGCTCCCTCTCCAGGGCTAGTCCGTGTGAGTTTCTGGGGCATGTCCCTTTTTGTCACCTTCACCAAGTGATTAAAATCAGGTGTACATATGGCCCTGGGGGGGGGGGGGAATCACCATATAATCACACATATGAATGAAGCTTCCGTATAGGTCCGATTTACAATTGAGCCGGTGATAATCGACTGTTGCTCCAACAAAAAAACACTTCAACGCATGTCTAGATACATATATACATATGTATACATGTACATGCATGCATACACGTGTGTACATCCATACATTATACATATTCACGTACAACCAGCTCAAGCTTTGGTTTACCGTTCCTGCTTTCTTCGCAATTACAGGATACTCGCGCCGGTTTGGAGGCTGAGCAGCTGCAGGAAAATCAGCGTTCACCATGAGTGGCGGCTGTTCGCCACCGGATCCCTGGACGTCTCCCTAATGGCGACGATGCTTTTGACTTCCTGTTATAAAAAGGGTACCCTCAAAACACAGAAACATAAAACGCGCACATACAGAAATGGTACTTGTGCATGTTTACAACCAAATCCAACATTTTTGGACCACATTGACCTTAACAGGATATTTATGTGGGTGGTCCCTTTAAATGTTTGACTCAATGTTTGGTTGACACGATTTGGTTCCATACCTGCAACTTGGAAATTTCAGGCTTCAGAGTGATCCTTTGTCCACAGAGTGGTCCGTCCTCTTGCCCACACCTTGCTTGTGACCAATCCAACAACCAATGAAGGACAGATATTGTACAAACCCTCACAAAACACTAAACACAAACTTTTGCAACACGCGGAGACCATGTCTTTCAGCCAGGGCTGTGGGAATAACGACTTCTGTGATACAACAGAAAGGGCTTCCCAAAGACTAGACCCCCTTATAAAGGGGAGATTCCAACTTCTATCACAGAAGTGGTTGGATAAAATGCTTGTGATCCCACTACCCTGCAAACCAAACAAAGCCTGTAACAAAGAGTAACTTGTTATTTGCCGGATCCAGTCAGCGAACATAACATGAACAAACATCAAACATGGACAACCATTGACTTAAGACCCCTGGAACAAAAATCCAGAGATAGATTCCCTTTAAACCCAAACAACTATTCTTAAGCAAGTTAAAGTTTTACAACACAGGGAGACTTGAGCCAAGCAAACCCCAACCAGACCTCCCTGGCCTCAACCATGGCCTCGCTGGACTCCGCGGTGCGGCGCTCCAAGAGCTCCTTCTGCGACCTGGCGAGTCGCAGGCGAGGTGGTGTGGTGGTTAGGGACGAGATACGTTCGGGTTGGGGTTACCCTCCTGTCTAACATGGAACTCACTGGAGGGTCCCGTTTAAACATTTAAGGGAAAGTAGTCTTCCAGCACCAGACATGTCTAACGTGTCTTGCAGAACCCCCCAGTCAGGTTCCATGTTAGTGGATGGGAGGGTACATGATACTAAACTGTACCAAAATTGACCCATCATCCCCAGGGCGACTTTATCACTTTGAAGGATTCCCTTGGTATCTTGCAAAGTGGTCCTAACATGTTCATACGTTCCACGTAACAGATGTCTATGATATGAAGGCTTGAAGCGAGTGAACTGGAAACTAATACCGCTTCGTTCAGGCCAAAGCCTGGCTCCTTCGACCTGTTTTCCCCCCCCCCCCCGAAGGCACCGATTGAGCTCACTGGCTTTCGGCAGAACATGCGCCTAAACAAAAACTTCGCGATCCGGATTGCAGACCTGAGGTACGGGAAGGGAAACCGAAAGGAAGCCAACCAGTCTAGAAAAAACACCCCAGTAAACATCTAGCTTTTTGCGACAGCCTCTGGACTTGTCACTAGTCTGGGTTCTCGAAACAAACAAATGCTTGGAGTTGGAGAGGCAAACAAATACAAACAAAGTCACCAAGAGTTGCGAGAAGTTCATACACTTTGGCTCTATAATCAACACAATGTAATCGTTCTGTGAAACCCCAGCCAGGGATCCCGAACGCGGAGAAGCGGAGGATTCGACATTCGGCGCAAAAAGGCGGAGGAGGCTTGGCTTTGAGATGCCTTCGGCCGTCCCTTTCACCTTCCATTTGCTGAAATGAATATGTGGTGTTCGCCCTGTTGATTTTAAAGCGAGTCTATCACTACTGGACATGTTGCCGTTTCCCATGCATGGACTTAAGCAAATGGAAGTCACTCAGTCACTCCTCCATCTGACCCCAACTACTTTTGGAGAGAAGGACGCCAGACAAAAATTGGTGACCGCCAGCCGGTATTGGTCACTGTCAGTAGACCCACCCTTAGACACGTTAAACCAACAAATAAGAACACAACTTAATATAAACACACCAAAACAACAATCCGTCGAATCTACAAAATCATCAAAGTTCGTTGGGTGCACCACCCAAAAAAAAGAAAGAGCAAAAACGCGCACAGAGTGGCAAACATTTCTCCGCGAATCATGCCGGCTGGGCTGCACCTCTTGCCTCGCCGTGCCTCGAAGAGGCAACTTCAGAGGCTAAAGGCCCCACTTTGGGGGACGCTGTATGGAAGGGTATGTTCTGTTATGAAGGGAATCTTTTTGGTGTAGTTTGAAAGGGAAATCCCATAATGTTTCGCCATGCTTGAAAGAATGGCGCCTGCCCATGCGGGTACTTTGGAGGTGTTTGAGGGTGTTCGATAAGGGATGGGGATAGACTTGCCTGTGCAAGTTACCCTGAAACAACTAATCCTGAAGACCTCCCCCAAATGAAGCTAGGCAGGCCTTGTTGGGCAAGATAACAGCAAGTAGGCCCTAAGCGTTTGAGGGTGTCTTCGGAGGGTGTTTGGTGGGAGCAGTCTTTTCCGGAAGCGGCCAAGAAAGTTTAAACAAAACAACACGAGCAACGTGAAAACAGAGGTGGGCCGAACAAGACTAGATAAGGCCAAATAAGGCACAGCACTTCTATATCAATGATTATCAAGCATTGGATATCCCGGCCATGCAGTGTTGCAGCCCGTTGTGGCTGTCCAGACTTTGTACAACTTGAGGATAAAATATCACCTGTCTCTACGGATGAAAAAAAAACAAGGCCAATTGGGGATGAGGCAACGATTTGTGTAGGTGTCAAAAAAGGGCGGCCCCGCAAATGGTGATTCTCCTTCTTGGCTTCCTTTAAACCAAAGGTCCCTGAAAAACACACACATCCAGTTGCGGCAGCGTTTTTAAGCGGGGGTGGTTTGCGGCGCCCGACCCGGAGCGGCATGCTTTGGGCGAGCAGCCGGACAAGGTGGCGACGTCACGCACTACCTGGCGACGTCACGCGCAAAGGAGTTGAGGAAGTACAACATATGAAGCGACCAATTTAGCTCAAAAGGCAATGCTTAAAGCACCCAAAAAGGGATTAACTTGTACATTTCAGGTATCCACCGTACCTCAAAGGTACCCATCACCCAAGAGAAAAAAAAACAGTTGGAGCACAACCGCGTCTGCAGTAGTTACCAGCGAACCACCTCAGACACAAGCCACAGATTCCCAACAAACAAGCCCCTAAGCCATTAGAATCCATAGGCAACCAACAAACGCCTGAGAGACACCTGGAAGAGGCACACTTAAAGAAATAGCTGACAAGTAAAGCCGGCTTTACTCTGGAGATACCCTGGGCAAAGTAACAACAGGCTTATGGAGCTTCATGTACGCATGAATGGAATCAAGAGAGAATCGCATAGCGCCCTTCGTGACCAAGGCTCAGCACGAAATGCAACAGCGAAGTGTGTTGGCAAGGGGGCGAAAGGAGCAACCCAGACTAGGGTGTGTGATTGTTTTCGGGGTTTGCGTGGCACCATGATAGCACAACTGACAGCAGTCCGAGTCGCGAGCGTATGAAAAAAACTACAGACAATTAATCTTGATTGGGAACACCTTGGTGGACAGAACTTAATTGCATGTTCACGCTATGCCCGCTTGATTCATGACCATTGCAAGAACACATGACTGTCTGCACGTCGGTGCCTGGTTGTGAAGGCCCTCCATGTTGGAGCACACTTTCTGTAGCTCCTGTCGGGGGCCACCCAGTTTTGAGCAGCATGTGTCAAATTAGACCCTCTCCACAAAAATAACTGGTTTTCCTTTTGCTTTCCCTTTAAACCATCCCGAAAAGGGAACCTTCAAAATCACACACCCATGTGGCTAAGGTGTTCAAAAGTCGGAACCCCTGAAAAGTGCTTGGAGGACATAAATCCCCTCCTAAATGATGTCCACCTCAAAATTTCATACCCATGTGGGTGGAGGGCAAACGTTCTTGAACAAACCCAGAGTCATGGGATTTATTTCCACTGACCCTCTCTTTTGGGACGAGTCCTTCTCCGAAAATCCTACCGCGCCCTGCCCACGTGGTGATCTTCGGGGGCTATGCCCCTACCTTAAGGGGGGTTGGGGTCCCCAATTCCATCCTGATCCACACCAACAACGGTAAAATGGACACTGAAAGTGGAACACCCGCCTCCCCCCAATGTCTTTTTAAGGGGTGGGGATTTTCAAAGATTTTCTTGGTACCTTGTGAACATGCACCGAAGACCCTTTTTTGGCCCGCCTACTCAACGGGGTATTGTACTTAGTAAGTGGGTAATAACCATGGTTTTGACGGTTACAAGTCTCCGTTCAGTGGTTTATAACCATGGTTCTTACCCACTTTCCTGACGTACAATGCTCCTTTATTAAGCACACCCCTAGCAGGTAACCTTGGACCCAACAGAATTCCGCTTCCGACATACTTTTTTGCAGCACTCCTGCGCCACTGCGCGGTGCACCTCGCTCAACACCTGACTTTCGAGTCGCTCGTCGAACGGCTGGCTGAAAGCTGTGCCCCGAAGCCGCTTGGAATGGGGGGTCAGACGTCCCTAAGCACTCCAACCCAAGGGAACCCACGGTGAGTAACATGCAAAGCTTAAAATTCTGAAAGCCAAAAAAGGGGAAATAGAGGAGCCCTACGAAGAACGGGTGGGGGGGGGGGGGAGATTGCCCCTTTCTTAGATGCTAAAGTTGGCCAAGAGGTTGTGGAATACTGTTGTAATATACCAAAGCTGGCCTCTTTCATCTAGAAGGATGCCCCCAAAGATGGCACTAAAACCCCGACTTCACGGCTGAACATGGGAGCCTCGGCGCTAATTACGAGCAACAATACCCACAAAGCAAAAACAACCACACGCGCACCGAGCGAAAAAGTCTGTGCTGGCGTTTAAACGGCCGGGCGCCTGAGCGTGCAAGGCATCCAGATCCTTCTGCAGCTTGTCATGGCCTCAATCGCGCCCGAATGCGTTCCGAACCGTGTTTTTGTTGTTTTTTTTTCACAATGGCGGGGCCGTCCAAACCAAAGGGGGCCCTCTGTGATTCCCAGTGCAAGCGAGCTTGAAAGCGTCCACTCTTCCGCGGTCTTGAGGACAAAGGCCACCCCAAGCAAGACGGACGGCCAAAGTTCATCGTCAACTCCTTTCCTGCGCTGACAGCTTTGAGTGTCTCCACCAGGCCTCGTGCAGTCAAATCAATTTGCCATCATACCTTGACGGCCCCAAGCGAGAGCAACCCCCTGCAAAAGGTCACTTGTCGCCTGGTTGAAAGTAAAACAAAGGAATATTGCAAAGGCGAAAAGCTGAAAAGCTATGTCTGGCAGAGCACTCAGCTGTACAAAATGGAGGGTGCATTTCCCTGGATTGGTTCAGAGATATACACGCTATGCGCCCATTATTCCACAATCATCGTTTTATCCCATAGGACGTGAACATCTTCGGGCAAACGAAGGGTGAAGTCATTACTTGTGCTTCCCCGCAGGGCTAGGCGCGTGTTTGCCTATGAAAAGTTTCCATGTGTGCTGCGTTGACTGTAAGACAAACAAGAAAATCAGCTCGTGTTTCTTCTTTTCACGGGGGGAACCAATTGAGACCAAGCCAGGTACAAACTTCACCGAAAACAAAGGAAGCGGCCTGCAAAATCAGGATGCGAGGTCCTGACCTTCGGAACCCCCACCCCTTCAACGACCAGTCCCCAATCTGGCGGGCTCCAGGAGCCGTCTGAGGAAAATGTTCAACAAGCCTACAAGTTGGTTGGATGTCTTGTGCTTTTAGTAGCCTTGTTGGGTTTGTTTAAAGAGAAACGAAGAGACAACACAATGAAACTGAAGTATACACAAACAACGGGGTCCCCTATTCAGAGACATACCCATTTGCAACAAACGGATCATTGGGCTCCAACACCAACTGCAAAAAGCATCCAAAAAAGCAAATACCCTCGGAGATGTACGTAGGTTATTTGTCTCAGCTTTGTACCACACCCTTGAAAATGACCCAACTACCGCACTTCTAGGGAGGCGAGGTGGGGCGTCCCCAATTTCCTCTGTGTCTTACACAAGAGCAAAACTGGAGATCTCCAGGGGTCAAACTCCCCTCAAACTTGCCGAAATTGGGACTGGGAATCCCAAAAGCTCCAACTGGATTCGCCATTCGTCCAGTCGCTTGTTTGTTGCCCGTGTGGCCTTTGCTTTGTTGCGGGTCTCAGCCTCCCCTCAAAGTACGTCGAGTTTTGATCCCCGATTTGAAAACCTCCGCTCCTTGACGCCTGCGCTCGTGCTCTCTGGGAATCACATGTTCATGGAATTGTCTCTATAGTCAATGTCACTCTGTAGACTGGTGTCAAAGAGTTCGCAGAAAGTGACCCCCCGAAGTTAGCTAAGTCTGCAGCACCCCTGGCTTGACCCCCTGTTCACGTCCGGAGTAGCTATGGATACCACCCAAGCGGAGCATGATCATATTTTGAACACATAAACATGTGCCCGTGATAGTAGCACTTCTCAGCGCGCCTGCGCGTGCGAAGCATTTTTGTTTATAGGGTACTCTGTTCTTTTGTCTCTTGAGGCATTTGGTTGTTAAAACAACATGTCCATCCTCTCAAGTCAGGGCTTGAAATCACAAGGAAAGAGAAGCGTGGGTCTCCTAAAGCCATGGCATGGGCAATGACTCACGGAAACGGTGCTTAGTCGCCTTGTGCTGTGGCAAAGGAAGGCCTCTGCGGACTTTTCCTACATAGGGGCTTGGTGCCCGCCAACCATTTTGGATGCTCCCTACTAATTACATGTCAAACTCAGCTTTCAAAAGACGTCACTGGCGTGGTTGTAGAAGATACCTCTTTCTGTCATACCGAAGTGGTTCATTCCCATGACGTTGTCACTTTCCCGGCTGTTCCCGAAGGGTGTCACAAAAAATGCCAACTTGAAACCCTGGTTTCCACAACTGGGGTGTGCCTCAAAATAGGGGGGGCTTCTAAAACTGGTGGTTTCCCTTGTGGCGTCCCTTTAAAACCACAAAAAAACATGGTACCCCTCAAAACAAACACACCCAACCGTGACCGCCAGGACTGGAGACACTTCCGGGCGAACTCCGTGCACTGCACTGCATCAGGAGGGCCCCGGCAGAACTGTGACTGGTATTGCAGCTCCGCCTGCGATTTCTGCAAGCAGCGGCCAGACCCAAACTTGCTGGTTTGAGAGGCAGGGAATGAGTTGGAATCACGTCGAAATATAACCATCCCCTATGGTTTCCTTTGAGGAAATTCCTGGGCTTATTCCGCAACCCTGGGTCATGCCCTACTGAGCACCAGCAAGAAAAGGAGCTCGCAAAAGGAACATAAATCAAGGCCAAACCCAGCGCAGCAACATATTGCCAGTGTTTTGCCGCAACCCTCTCACCAAGAGTTTCTTTTCTAAAATAGCGTTCTCTTCCAAGAGGGTCTGTGCACTTCAATTTGTTGCTTTGGTGCTAACTTTCACTGCCTTTTTTGTCGGACATGCTTGATGCCGATTGATTGCATTGCATGTGACCTGGCGTCTCTGCTATTGAGATGTAGATCTTGTGAACGTCTAACAAGGGTTCAACACCCAACGCCCAGCAAACGCTCATCTTGGGTGGCAGGGTCTGGCTGTTTCACTCAGTTGCCTACGCTCAAAAATAAACCGTTAACCAATTGGGGCCAAACCTAGACCAGAGGAAAACCTCTAAAGATCATTTCAGGGGCCATAGAATCAGTGATTCTACTCCCCGGTTTTCCTGCCAAAACACCAAAAAAAAGCAACCTGAAAACAATTGGAACATTCCCAAATCCCACCCTGCGAAGGTGGGGTTGCTCTCTCGGCTTTCGCCTCCAGAGTCTTCCACCCAGCTTTGGCCTCCAGCGAAAGGAAAACGGCGCCCGGTGAAGGGGGCGGGGCTAAGCCAAGAAGACTACAGTCGCGATGGACAAAATCCTTAGGATAGTCGTTTGGACATAAAAGAAGGCCTCTGGAAGACATTTGTTCTCTGAAATCTGAGTGTGTCATGTTTAAGGGTAGCTTGTCACAGCTTGTCTGTGACCTAAACAGGTAGAAAGCCAATTTTGGGCACCGTTTCCAGCGCTACCTGAGCTAAACCCCAGAATGTCCCGGTACCTGAACCCTCAACCTTCCCACCGCATCCAACCCGGGTGAGGGTCCAGGGTTTCCTCGACGAAATCAGTACAAACGCGAGTGATTCTCTGATGAGGAAGACTGGGTTTCATCATATCCCAGAACCCAAAAACTATTTGTCCAAAGGCCCCAGAATGGTGCTTCCCTGAGGTGTCGTTCCTTTGATCCCCAGGAGCATGTGCATTACCCCAACTCCAGGATAGTTACACCAACACCGTTTTTTTTGTGCTTCTGTTTCCAATTTTCGCTAACCTCAAACTATACCATTCCGAGACTCCGAGACCCCGGAAACACCTTGCCCTCTTGGCTTCGCTTGAAAACACCAGCTACCCCAAGGCGGACACACCGTCCAAAAAGGCGCCTGAAGCGGCGGTGGCCGGAAAGCTTCGCGCTCCAGGGCCGTGAAGTGGAAGGCCTCTCTGGAGCTGCTACCAGTCGCCTAGGATCTCCCTACACCTCATGTCAGGCCTTTTAGGGTTCAAGGCCCTCAAATTTAGGGTGGGCTCCTAGGCGTCTTTGTCTGGAAATCATCCAGCATATGTCCAATAGTGAGAGATACGGGGGTACAAAGGGGGAACACAAGATTCACTGGTTTAAACAGTGATTAGAGTTAGGCAACCAGCTATAGAATGTATTTGTGTTCCTTTGAGTCGCTGGTAAAAAATGTAAATGTATCCTAAGTCTACCCCGAAAAGGGGACCACGCACAGTATCTGCGGCTTCCAAGTTGGGACCAAGCCACTTCCCTCTTGGGCTGAGAAGGATGGGTACCCTATCAGCGTCCAATGTGTTTTCCAATAGATGGACATGGTCCAAGGTCAAACCCTGGTCGGCCGGCACGGACTGTTTCAAACAAGTTGAGCCCCTTACCAGCACGCATTTCCCATCCCCGAGTACTCCAAAAGGCAGTCTTTGGAGGGTGCTGCTACCTTAATGAGCAGGCTGACAATCATTCTATTGAACCTGCCCTCACTTGCCCCAAGGGCTTGCGAATCAATGGTTAACCTTGGGAAGGGGCGTGTTTTAAGATAATAAATGGAAACAAAAAACAGTTTTTGGAAATCCTTAGAACATCCCCAGCTAACCGTGGTGCAGGTGCTATTGAGGGCCTTTTGCTCTCGCTCCTTTTGACGTTTAAACAAGCTTTGGTTTCCCTGAAGGGTTGAGTGAAAGTAGTGCAGCCCAGTTTCCGCATGGAATCGGGCTTGCCCTCGCTGATCGATGTTGGCCATGAGCTCCGGCCACCCTGGTTGGGTTCTGTTTGGCCGCATCCGTGAGCCAAAGTGAGACTGACTCGTTGCTGCGTCGTACATCCGCCAGCAGGCACCGGCACACATAGTTACATAGTCAGCTCGGGAGGCGTTGGACTCGTTCGCTGTGAGCCAATCTCCCAACTGAGCTCCGTATTACGGAACTCCCCCGCAAGGGAAGACATACTTATCCCCAAACAGGGTTAGACCAAGCAAGCGATTTCATGGAAGCTCCCAGGCCTCTTTGGGGGATGGTACAAATGGAGGGCGCTGACAACCCTAAGATTGGTGACCAACCCAGGGTTTCACCCTGGTGAGCTCTTCTCGTTCTTTTAGCAGGAAACAGCTGCAACAATATTCAGACATATTCTGGCCTTAGTGAGACCTCACTCGGGCCTCTTTGTAGGGAAACGCCCGGCGGGTGGGGGGAGAGGGGTCGTGCCGAACCTTATACGTCCCCTGTACCCCGCCCAAAGGAAGGGCAAATCCACCCAGAAGCGACAAAGGATGTGAGGGTGCCTTGCATCGTTGACACACCTTAGAGGGCTCAAAGGCAAGCAAGCGCTGACTGACACGTACGACATCTTCACAAGACGAGTTGTGATAAGTGTGGCTCTTGGTCCAAACAACCAGTGGAACAGGGATCCTTACATTATACACCTGAACATTGCCTTGTAAATGGTGGTTTCCTTTTATTTTGGTGTTGAAAAAGCCATGCTTCAAATGGTTGCTCGCCCCTCCAATCGCTCCGGCGATTGCCCAAGTCGAGCCTGGCCCTCCATGATTCGCCCTGAACCCTGGAGCTAGGCCCCCAGTAAATGTGTGTTGCCGCAAATGCTCAGTGTTGCTTTGTTTTAGCCAGCATTTGTGCAACATGTGTTGCAAAACAGACAACAGTTGCCGCAAATTCTGTTGTCAGCTTGCACCAGTTTTTTGTGCAAATGCATTTGACTTCTGTGTGGTTGAAGCTTCGTATAATTCACGGACGCCGAACTAAGCTTGAACGCAGCGGCGCCTCCTGGATGAAATATTGTGGTTGACCAACCCCGAACCCAAAAAAAAAGAACCCTTCACCATGAGCCTTCAGTGGTTCAGTTAACATTCAGAGTCTCGGTGAGGACGCCGTGGGTTGGGTTGCCATGTGCCCCATACTCGAGCAAATGCGAGCAAGGCGAAGCGCCATGAAGAAATTGCACGTCTCACGTACTTACTCCCCCTGTAACACGGGATCCTCCCAAACAAGAGGCTCTACAAATGGGTGTGTCTCAACATAGGAGAGCCCAAACACACCACAATGAGGTGTTCGTTGGGTTCCGTGTGCATTTGCACAGTAACCTTTTCTTGCTGGTGCTCAGTAGGGAATGTGGGAATGAACCCAGGGATTCCCTTAAAGGAATCCACAAGGAATGGTTTATCGGGGTCATTCCATTTCTCATTCCCTACTGAGCACCAGCAAGTTTGGAGACAACACAAACTAATGCACAACCAAAACAGGCAAACTGTTAGGAGTCAACAAAGGCCAGCTCTGGGCAAGGGAGACGATGATTGACACACTGAGAAAGGCCTTTAAAGGGGTCAGGTAAGTGGGTAACCACCATGGTAATAACCCACTGAACGGAGCCTTACAACGATGGCTTTGGTGGGTTATAACCATGGTTGTTATCGACTTACCTGACGTACCCTACCCCTTTAAGTACCCCCTGTTTTCCACTAAAATGGCACCCGACAGGGGGCACCGTCAAGAGGAAACTGATCTTCCGCGCGAGCCCCCCCCCAAAACAAATATATGTTCGGAGGAGGAATGGCATCTGCACAAACCCTTCAAACATTCCCGCCTTCCACAGATGGGGAGGACCTAAAACTGGTTGGTGTCCCTCTGGCGTCCCTTTAAAACATGATCCAACACAGGAATTCCGATCAGAAAGAGCCGGCGGCATGTCTCCCCACTGGATTTCTTCAATCCGTGGCCGTCCTTGCGGCCGTCTCTAGGTCGACAAGGCAGTCCATCAGTTCTTGACCCCCACCATAAAAGTGAACGTATGGGTGTATTTTTTTTTTTAAGGGTACCCCTTCATTTCTGGCTTTCAAGGAAACCAAACAAACACCTTATGATAGGGGGTCTCCACAAAAACAGGGGCCACCCGTATCAGCAATTGTCCATCTGCGCCGGCGAGTGCTACCAGGTCTGTTTTGCAATAAAACTTGACACCTGTTGCTCATGAGTGCCGTTTGTCCCAAGTTCCATTATGGCTGTTGGTCCAATTCAATAAGAACTTGAGCCTCCTGGGCTGACCTTTTGACCCTCTTTGCTGTTTTGCGTCATGACTTTCATTTTGGGAAGGGGCCGGGAATGGATGTTCTTCACGTGATCAACACGCAAGCCCAAAACAAATGATAGTCGAGCACCCGTGCAAGTCATTTGTCCACTGCAACACTCAAATCCGGAGCTAGACCTTATCCCTCCCACTGCTCGCTGCGTGCTTCGATCTGAGAAATCCTCAAGTAAGTATCCTTCGTCATTGGTAAGCTTGCAAATGCATTTGCTACTCAGCAACAATGGCACGCCATGCCCTTGCCTGCAAGAGTTGCAAAGCAGAATCTCCAGGAATCGGACACGAGGAAACAAGCGTTTGTCTCAACAGGCCGAAAGGCTCCGTTTAAGGAATGGCTTCCGAACCACACCGATGTGTTTCATGGCTCTCGCACTTTGAGGCTGCCGGTCAAATTGCAAACCCGACAAGCTCTTGGCAAACACACGCACAAGCAGTGCCACCGCAAGTGATAAGAACCCCGCAAAATGTGTGTTTTCCCTTCATGGAAACCCGGGGTGATCCCCTTCTGAAACAAACATGTTCTCGCTCAACAAGGGACAAGCCAAACCATGGGACACCAGAAGCTTACATGTGCTTCAAGCCGTCAGGAGTCTTAACCACAACAAATGCCTCTTGCTTGTCTGTTGAACTCGTTTTCTTCCCGAGGACTTCAGAAACAATCATAATAATAAAATCAAAACTGTACCAAGAAGCTTAGACCTGGTTGCTAAACATGAGATCCGGGAAACTATAGAATCATCCATCTGTTGGTGTCCTTTGATTGAACAAATGCTCAAAGAAGCATTCAAACAAATGCTCACAATCGGAGACAACTAAGATTTGAACAAATGCTCACAACTATTCCGTGTTTTTTTGACTGAACCAGAAACAAATTTTGAACTGCTGGGCCCGTAATGTCGAGTGAGAGCATCTCCAGCCTGCTGCGAGGGACCTGTCAAGTTGCCGCCTCCCTCGAACCCAAAAAACAAAACCTTTGCATCGGCTGAATATCTTCTAGGTCCTCCAGTGGAGAGGTTAGAAGAAGTTGGTACCCATTTTTTCTGTAGTCTATTTTACTAGGGGAACCCTCCCCCGAAAAAAAATAAAAGGGCACGACTGGGGGACCTAGTCTTCATAGGATCAAAATCCACCTCTCCCCCAAAAGCGTTCCCCTGGTTTCCTCCATATAAGGCCTGAATGAGACGCCTGATAAGGATCTGAAGAGGGTCTTGTTCTGGAAGACAGGGTGAGGGGAGGTTCAGGGGAAAGGGGTGGATCCTATGAGACGACGCAAAAAAGAAACAAGAGAGTAACACCATGTACTATAAGAGCCATCAACAAGAATGGGGCTGTAAGGTACTTCAAGACCAAATCAAGTCATACCCTCCCATCCACAAACGTGGAACCTCACAGAAGGGTCCTGGTTTGGACCATGTTCCTTTCACAGAGACGCCCGGTGGGTCCCATGTGAAAATCGACCGAAGGGTACCCAAAGGACTGACCCTCCGAGTTGGCAAGCTGCCCAATGAAGTCTAGGTCCTCCAGTAGAGCTTAGAATTAAAAAAACAACTTTCTTCTGTGGTTTATTTTAGTAGGGGAACCCTCCGAGCCAAAAAGAATTGAGGGTGAGACAGGGCACCGAGCAGGGGGACCTAGAAGTGGAAGCGGTTGCAGTCCACTAGGATGGTGTATAACAGGGGTACAACCTGAGAGAAAGAGAGGCAGAAGAAAACGGAGGACGAGATAAGGAAAGAAAAAGAGAACACCAGAAAGAGAGAATAAAGAGATAAGAACCAATACACAATATCAGAAAGCGACATATACATCGCAAAATAACAAACATAAACAACAAACAAGACTATCGACGCAAGTTTATAGTACAGAAAGAAACAACTAAAAACAAATTATCAACAGGAACAATGACGCAAACGCGTACGGAATCTATGCAAAAAGGAAATTAAGGCAAAGGGAAAACCAAACAAGAAAACATATGCTAAATAAATCAAGAAGTATCAATACTATACATACATACGGAAGGATGTAACAACAAGACATACATATCAATCAAGACACACACATAAATATGTAAGTAATGACTTAATAAACACGTGCACATAAGGACATCAAGCCGCAACCAAGTCACTCAAAGAAACAAACAAACAAACAAACAAACAAAAAAACAAACAAACAAACAAACAAACAAACAAACAAACACACAAACAAACAAACAAGTCAAGCAAAACAAAACACAACAAAACAACCACACACAACATGAAACAACACAAGCAACTAGTTAAAACAAATACCTAAATCTGAAATAAGTAAATGCAGAAAAACGTGAGAACATAAATAAACACATACCTGTATTGATGGATGGACAGCCCAATTCAGCCTGGTTGTAACACACTCGGCAGACAAAAAATAACCATGGCTTTTGTGGGATATATTCAGGCTTACTAACCCTTTACTAAGTACCCGACCGCCCCTTCAAGAACCTGGGTGTGCACTACGTCCGGTTGTGGGAAGCTTCTTTGCGAGAGACAGCGATGTCCAGCTGAAGAATGGAGCCTCGGAGCAGTAATCATTTACTAAGTACCCGACCGCCCATTTTCAGTGGCCCATCCTTTGGACAAAAAACCGAAGGTTACTGAACCCAAAGTCTAGGGGTACCTTCCCCATTCTTTCCAGGGATCCTTCTAGAAAACCTCCGCACACCGAGGGAAAACGGATCCGGTTTTTGGAAAGAACGATGGTTGAAAAGAATGGGGAATCAACCCCTAGAATAGTTGGTCTTTCCCCTCCCAAACAATTCCCCATCATGGTAACCGAAGGCTTTGTTGAGCTTTGTTGACCCCTGGTTGGTTGGAATCAAGGAATCATCCCCTAGAAAAAGGTCTCAGGTCGATTGGCCCGACTGAGGCCCTGTGAAGGGCACCGGGCACGATGAGCTTTATAGAACGGAGAATCTGGGTCTGCAAGTTTTTGGGGGGAGCCCCGTTTGACAGGGAACCAACTGGAAAACATGGTGGATCCCCCCAAAATGACACACTCATACGAGCCCCCGTTGTTTTAATGGTGGCTTGGGTTTCCCTTGTTGAATTCCAAGTGAATCCAACAGGTATAATACAACGGCCTTGGGGCGCAACGCGCGCCGCTTTGTCTTTCTTTGCTCAGCGCGTCTGCAATGCTCCCTTGACCACATAGATGGCCTGTCCACCTTGGGCGCACGGAAATCAAGCAAATAGAAAACAAATGGAACATACAAGAAACGACATGTAATCTCGGTTGCTTTCTGCTCCCCTGCTAAAAGTTTAACTTTTAGTGGTTTAGTGGAAAACCCATTAGTTGGCAAAAAGTTAAAGTCCTAACAGCCAAGCAACATGCACCAAAGTAATATAGGGGCTGACATGGGCGAACTAGTTACACACACAGCACACACATGGTTCTCCCACAATCATAAAGTATGCTGGTTCGCAGCTGCTTTCACACATCCCTGATTCGTTGTGCTTCTGAAAGTATGCGGTGTAGAGTCGGGTAGAAGGAGCTTGGTAGGAGGATCCGCTTTAGTCGCCTAGAAACGTCTTGGTCATTGGTGCCAGCCGAGCCACACAAATGGAACCCCAGTTGATTCATAAACCGTCATAAGCCCTTGGCTGATTGATCCGGGGACCACTTTAGAGCGAGTCCTTCTCTCCCAAGGGAAACAGGTATTCATCCACCAGGTTGATTAACTCTGGGTGTAGTGCCAACGAAGTGCTAAAAGAGGGACATCGCGAGTGGAAGATCCAGAGGTGGATTCGGAAGTGCTAATCTGAACATCACCACACGAAAACAAAGGGAACCAAATCAATCGGCCTTCCAGAAAGCTGTTCAAAACCACCTTTGAAGGAGGAGGTGTTGCGTTGTTGCCCATTGAGATGCATCTTACCTACTGCTGAAATAGCAAAGATGTCCTGATGGAAGTTGCTTGTGCAAAGTGGTGAAAACACTTGTGCTTCGCACTGCGCTGACTGAGAGGCCCCAAGGGTAAATATCAAGACGTGACCTTGAAGGAGTGGTTTAGAAGATTGTTTCTGGCAAAATGTGTCGCCTCCTCCTAGTTTCCTGTTGAAAGCACACCTCCAAGCAAGTGCCTTGAAAATGACACTCCCGCATACCCTGTCAAACGAACAGGTGGTATGCGTGTTGGTGTGCCGTTAAACAAAGCTGAAGGGGTAAGCCTTCTTGCGAAAACGTTCAAGTTAAAAATTGCCGCATTTCTCGGAACGAGGAAAGAAGGAAATGCAAGGGACGTGCAGGGAACAGGAAATGATAGGAAACCAAGGGCAAATGAAACGGGAACGAAGGGGCCGGAAATGAAGTGCAGGGGGGGAGGGGTTGACGGGGGAAAGAAGGGAAACAAATTGACAGACAGTGACGAGGAAATCAAAGGACGCGAAGGAAGATGTAGGGAGATGACTGAGAGACACAGACAGAGAGACAGAGAGAGAGAGAGAGAGAGAGAGCGAGAAAGAGAGGCCCAATCCTCGCTAGCACTATAATTGGCCTCGCAACTGGAAGTCAGGTTTCGGTAACATTAGTCCTCACGTGTGGTCCCTGCACGTAACGCAACAGCAATCCTGCCAAAGGGTACCCCGTCCACGCCCGGAAGCATGGTGCTTGTGTGTTGAAGTCAGGCTGTTGCCTCTCGCACCAAGAGTGTCAACGAACTGCTCGTCGACAATGGAGGCATGAGAGAAAAAAAAGAAGAACAAACGGTAGTAAGATGGTCTACGCCGCACCAATTTATGGCTATTGTCCCTTTCCCTCACCCGAGCCATTGGCTCCTTGCCCCAAATCGATGGGATTCCTCCAAAGTTTACAACTCCAAAACCTGCAATAAGCATTGTATTCCCCAAGTAAAGGATCTCTTCACCACGAACCTTCGCTCGTTTACCCCCTCCCCCCCAAATAACCGCTAAGCTCCATCGATCCCTCGGCGATCGGACTCCGGGGCCTTGCTCCAACTTCTCGGCCACCTCCCGCAGCTGCTGCCGGATCACGTACTCGCTGAGCTTGCACCTATGGGGACTTGCCATCGATCGATTTCGGTACTAGTCAGCTGAATGGCCGTGGGTATAACTTCTTCTCCCATCCTGCCGTCATTTCTGACTTGAAGTGATCGATTCGATACGAGTCAGGTGAGGAATGGCCATGGGCACAACCCGGCTCCAATCGATCATGCCATGGCTATAAGCTGAAAGTATGATAAGTCTCTCAAGTGGGAGACTAACCAGGCTTAGTAGCCACTTACCTGACGTACTCTGCCCCTTTGAGTCTGGATCTGGGCGAACAATCCGACCCTATTTGAAGACCCACCCTACCTCCACCGACCCACTTTTGAGCTTCCCTCTGGTTGGTGTTTGGAGCCCGGCGGTCTGGTGCTTAGGAGGTTTCCCATCTCTCCAGAAGAGCCAGGGGTTCAACTCCAAATCCAAACCGCCAACAAAGGGTTTCCTCAACTTTTGAGGCAGTTCAACCATTACAAAACATAACTGGTGCTATTTTTGGTTGGAAATGGTCTCGCCCTATGCACGGCCCCTGCTTAGCTTGAGAGGGCCAGCATAGCACCATATGAAAGTGTGTGTTTAAATTTGGTACAAAGCTTCTGCTTGGTTTAACACAAAACCAGGAGGAACACGAGTCATGGCTATGGATATTAACCTGACTGCGGGTTATGGAAATGTGTTTTCCACCGCCTTGGACCTTCCATGTTCTGGATGCGTTCTTTGCTGGTACCTGACAATTCACGATGCGCGGAAGCCATGGTAACCCACGGCCTTTCTTTCACCAGGGCCAGGGGGGTGCGATCTTCTCGATTGGTACATTATCTAAGGCCGCAATAGGGTGGAATCTGCCAGACACGGGGTTGACAACAAGCATCCGGCACCTGTGCGGCTCTGTCTGGGGTGAGCCCTTGCGGTTCACTGTAACCGAAGTGGGTGTTCCAAAACAGGGGACCTCCCAAAAATGTTACTTTTGGAGACACCAAGAAGAGTAACTCCCTCAAGAAACAGACCCATCAGAACAAATCTGCTCGCAGGTGCCTCTGCCGGGAATTGCCAACAGGGTTCCCCATGCCCACTTGTCACGTGCATATGAACATATGTATCTTCTAAACGTCAAATGAAGCTCACGCGACAAATCACCCAACAAAAACTGCAGATCTGCGCTTGAGTTCAGCCGGATCTTAGGCTTGCACCTCCGGCGATCATCCAGATTAGGATCAACAGAAGCATCACAAACAACAGCAGATTAGATATATCCTTCCTCTTCCCAATGAAGCCAGCAAACAGACATCAGAAATGAAGAACATCGCTCTCTACAATACACGCAGTCCAGCATGCTAGCCAGTAGATAACAGAGTCCTTTCGGTATTTTCCCTTCGTCTTTTTCATCTTTTTCAGAGCTCTGTCCTCAAGGGAAATCGATGAAATCCGCCTGAATTTAGGGTTAAAGCTCTCCAAGCTGATCCCTTCTGTCAGCATTAAGCTTTGCCTGAACCGTCAAGTACATACTCGTGTTGTAGACCCCAGCCCTAGACAACGACACCTGTCCCCTCCCAAAGGAAGTGCAACTAATCAAGGCCACAAATGCGATGCTTACGCAACCTATGAGGAACACATATTCTGGGTGTGTCTCCTTTTGAAAGGTACGCCCCTTTTTTGGGCGTGAAATGAAATCCAAATGGAAACCATTTTGGGGTAGCCTCAAGACACATCCACATTAGTATAAGAGCGCCAACATGTGGCCAAAAGACAGCCTGGCTCGCGACTCCGCAGAAAAAAGAGCCGCACCAACCGCGCCGCCGGCCTCTCGTTGTAGACGCGCTCGTATTCTTCCTTGGATCGCGAGCGCGAGTGCCGGTGAAGCTTTGATTCTAGGGCATGACACCCAGGTCCTCCAGAAGAGAGGTTGGAATAAGGGTACCAACTTTTAGTATATAGGGGAACCCTAGACCAACAAAGGGTAAAAGGGCACTACTGGGGGACCTAGAAAGGATCCTTGGACCATTCCCAGGGCAAAGCCCAAGAGTTAAAAAGCCCGAAATGCTGAAGTGTCCGGTTTGGGCGAGGGGCATTTTGACAGAACGGTCCAAGGCAACTTCTTATGCTTCTCTTGAAAAAGCGCAGGTCTGATTGTGCGACACATGGCTTCTAAAAATATGGCGGCCCTATACGCATATGCCAGGCATACAGTTCAATCTTGAATTTGGGCTCAGTCGCAACAAACACGAGACAAGATACCTACCAAGATAGCCCAACTTTGTAAGACACCCTACCAGGATATCCACTAGGTAAGTTTCCCGAGATCCACTTACATAGTGGTTTGCACAAAACCTGGAGGTTTCTCATTACGGCAGAAGGTGGCAGCTGGGCCCGAAAATGGGTCGAAGCCCTGGTGGGAATCCCGGGCTTCGGCACCGAGCCTCAAACATTCTCACACCCACAACCTCCGTATTAACCCTTTCCGGAAAATTACCCGCATGCGACCCGGATCCCTAAAACGGGCGTCGGCCGAACTTTTTTCGGTTTCCCTTGTAAAACCATCAACCCCCAGCCACCTGCATCCGACAATGTGCCTCTCTGGGCATCCCGGGCCATGACGTCCTGCCGCGTCACGGTCTCCCGGTGCTTGAAGAGTCCCAGCCTGGCAGGGCGAAGGAAGACCAGGTCTTCTCGAATGAGTCGCCAAACGTGGGGGGGGTAAAGCTTTGGCGGGCATCAGATGTGGGGATAACAAGGTCCATCAACTACTTTTGAGGGGAGTCCGAGTTTCAAAATTCATAGGCATGTTGCTTGGTGTCCCCTTCTTTGGCGACCCTTTGGTCACTACCAAGCGAGCAGACTACTGATCGGCGACAAAAACACGTCCAAACTGTTTGTTTCAAGTGGTTGAAGGAAGGCCGAATTCGGAGAGATCCGTGGCTTTACGGGCAACTGCCATTTGCTTCTGAAGAGTATCACTCACTTGCCCGCGGGACCCGGAAAATAGCAGGTGATCTGGGACCTTTGCTAAAAGTGGTTGCCGACACATTGGAGTTGAACACCCAAAGGTTAAAAGGCCGGCTTGGAGCAACTGAGATCAGGTCTGGAGCTCAGGCTTGGAGAGTTGAGGAGGCTGTCGGAGTTCTCAAAGGAGTCTTTGAGATGGAGAAAGTTGAGGGAACGAAGCTGCAAACACAAAGATTATTAACCACAAACCAGTAAACCCTATCCGTCCTCCCTTTTCCTTTTGCCCCCCTTTTGCCTGCATGGAGCTTGTCTCCAAATGGGTAAGCCCCAAAGTGTGTGTGTGTGTGTGGGTGGTTGTCATTTCATTTTCCTCAACCTTGATTCATGAACCCAGCACAAACCGGGTTCGGTCGGTGCACAAGCCCTTTGAGGCGCTGGTACCCTTGGATGGCTTTAAAGAGAAACCAAAAGAAAACCGAAGCCCATTTTGAAAGGTCCTACTTGGAGACAACCTTTCTCTGCACCAAACACTGTTGGCCGCAGGGGGGCCCATTTCTGCACTCAAGTCCATTTAAGTTTAAGTTTTCTGGAACAAACACGTATTTCCGGTAGTGCTCGATTCCATTCAAAACCAACAGGGACGAGGGTAAATATGTGTCTGTCTTTTATTTGGGCATGCTGGGTTTTAAGGGACACCAAAAGGACAACCGAAGCCTTTTTGTGGATCCCATACTCGCATTCTGGGCTGCCCTCAGATCCCCTAAAAGTTCGACTTTCAGTGGGTTTTTTCTGGAAACTACCACAAACAAATCAAACAAACAGCAGAATTCAGAGAGACCGCATGGCCGGGAGCTTCCTGGAAGTTGACAAACCCCGAAGTCGCGGCCACCGAGTCTCCCGGCAAGGTGCGCCGGAAGCGATCATGCGCTTCCGTGCCGGTGGACGCCAGCACCCAGACACCCCGCACCTGGCCGAGAAAAGAAAGAAACACACACACACACACACACACACACACACACACACACGCACAGCACGAAGCGAGCCTAAAAACCGCCGAAGAAACCTGACTTTTTATGGGTTGCGTTGGTTTGTATCTTGTGGTGTCTTGTTTTGCTTTGCTTTGTTGCGTGTGTGCTGTCTCTTTGTTTGCGCCTGTTTTGCTTCTTCCTTTTTCCGGTTTGTGTTTGCTGATTTTGTGTCTTTAGCTTGGTGATTGAAGAAAGTTGCCCGCACCTAACAAAAGGGAAGGCTTGATGAGTGTCTGTGCCTCTTTGGGTGTGTGTCAAAATCATTTTCAGGAAGCTCGCGGAACTGAATCGAATCGGCCGGCGCGAATCGCGCCGAACCGGAACCGGCGCGAACCGGCCGCGCGATTCCTCGATTCGAATCGACACCAAGTACGCCAACCCGGCGAAACGAAACGAAACGAATCGGCTAATTGGCGGTTTCCGAACCGAATCGAATCGAAACGGGCCGGTAAGCTCTAGACTCCAACCTTAGCCAAACTCTGGCCTCCAACCTTTGAGCTCCAAGCTCTGGGCTCCAACCTTTGGGCTCCAAGCTCTGGGCTCCAACCTTTGAGCTCGAAGCTCTGGCTCCAATCTTTGGGGTGCAACCTTGACAGGCCCCTCTGGACAAACCTTTTCGTTTCCACCTACAGCCCAACCTTCCCATGCAATCTCTTAGACTTCCTTCCTCCAGCCGCATCCCGGCTTGTTCCTGTTCTCTTTGCCAGCTCTGCCCTCCAATGGAGCCCAAAGGTTGGAGCCCAGAGCCTGCAGGAGGACAGAGCTTGCCAAGGGTTGGAGGGGAGCCCAGAGCTTGGAGGTCAAAGTTGGAGCCCAGGCAAAAGTTGGCGCCCAGAGCTTGGAGCCCAAAGGCTTGGAGGCCAGAGGTTGGAGCCCAGAGCCTTGGAGCCCAAAGGTTGGAGCCCAGAGCTTGGAGCCCAAAGGTTGGAGCCAGAGCTTGGAGCTCAAAGGTTGGAGGCCAGAGCTTGGAGCCCAAAGCTTGGAGGGGGGCCCAGAGCTTGGAGCCTAAAGGTTGGAGTCCAGAGCTTGGAGTTGGAGCCAGAGCTTGGAGCCCAAAGGTTGAAGCCCAGAGCTTGGAGCACAAAGGTTGGAGGACAGAGCTCCAAGGTTGGCGGGGGGCCCAGAGTTGGAGGTCAAAGGTTAGAGCCCAGGCAAAAGTTGGCGCCCAGAGCTTGGAGCCCAAAGGCTTGGAGCCCAAAGGTTGGAGGCCAGAGGTTGGAGCCCAGAGCCTTGGAGCAGTGTCAAAGGTTGGAGCCAGAGCTTGGAGCTCAAAGGTTGGAGGCCAGAGCTTGGAGCCCAAAGCTTGGAGGGGGGCCCAGAGCTTGGAGCCCAAAGTTGGAGCCCAGAGCTTGGAGCTCAAAGGTTGGAGGCCGAGCCCAAAGGTTGGAGCCAGAGCTTGGAGCCCAAAGGTTGGAGCCCAGAGCTTGAAGCACAAAGGTTGGAGGACAGAGCTCAAAGGTTGGAGGGGAGCCCAGAGCTTGGAGCCCAAAGGTTGGAGCCCAGAGCTTGGAGCCCAAAGGTTGGAGGCCAGAGCTTGGAGCCCAAAGGTTGGAGCCCAGAGCTTGGAGCCCAAAGGTTGGAGGCCAGAGCTTGGAGCTCAAAGGCTGGAGGCCAGAGCTTGGAGCACAAACAATTTAAAGGCCAGAGCTTGGAGGTCTGAGGTTGGAGCCCAGAGCTTGGAGCCCAAAGATTGGAGTTTAGAGCGTGGAGCCCAAAGGTTGGAGCCCAGAGCTTGGAGCACAAAGGTTGGAGGCCAGAGCTTGGAGCCCAAAGGTTGGAGGCCAGAGCTTGGAGCCCAAAGGTTGGAGCCAAAGCTTGGAGCTCAAAGGTTGGAGGCCAGAGCGACGCACCGCCCGCCCACACAAGTGTGACAATTTCAGGTGTGGCAAAAGCATCCTGAACCAAAAGTATTGTTGATTTGCGCCCCTTTTTGCCCCAGCAGACTCTCAAATACGCCAATAGGACCTTTATCATTGAAGTGGAATCTCCGGATCTGAAATTCATCCACATTCCTGAAGCGGTCTGCTTGTTTCATCTCTTGACTCAAATCAAATCAGACCCCTTTGTTGGCCCGAACTACGGCCAAGCAGCTGAGGAAATTCAATCTAATATCCATAGGGGCGCACAGGAAAAATCCGGAATCATGTGAAGCAATTGATAATCACACATGAAAGGGATCAGTAGAAGCAGGCACAAACAGAACTGTCTTGTTGGATAAAACAAATGATGCTCAAACAAAAGCAATTGGAGGACGCAGCCCTCAAAGGATGGAACAAAGGTTGGAGTGCAAGGTTGGTTGGAAGGGTTCTGGATTGAAGGCCTTTGAGACAAGCGTATGACTACTGGCAGGATCAACGATTTGGATGAAGTGGCCCCGGCTGGTTGGAGGGCCAAAGGTTGGAGGACCCAAAGGTTGGACGGGCGGCCCGCCGCAAGGCTGGAACATGTGGAGTGGCCCCCCGCAACTGCTGCCTGGTTGGGGTGACAAGGGTTGGAAGACGGAGGCGGCTCAGAGAAGGCTGGAAGGGCGGCCCTGGAAAGGTTGGAGCATGTGGAGTGGCCTCCCGAAAGAGCCCCCCACAAGCCCACCTGGTTTGGTTGGAGGACAAAGGTTGGAGTGCAAGGTTGGTAGGGTTTTGGATTGAACGCCTTTGAGACAAGCATATGACTACTGGCAGGATCAACCAGGATTTGCCGGTGGACCCAGGAGCTTTGGCAAAGGGATTTGGAGGCGCGGCCCTTTCAAAGGTTGGGCGAAGTGGCCTTGGCTGGTTGGTTGGAGGGCCAAACATGGGCGGAGAAGCCCCCAAAGTTGGACGGGGGCCCTTGGTTGGAGGGACAAAGGTTGGAAGACGGAGGCGGCTCAGTGAAGGCTGGAAGGGCGGCCCGGAGTGGCCCGCAAAGGTTGGAGGAGAGCCCCAGCAAAGGTAACAAACCTGCTGGAAGGGTTCTGGGTTGAAGGTCTTTGAGACAAGCATACGACTACTGGCAGGATCAACCAGGATTTGTCAGTGGACGCTGGAAAGCTTTAGCAAAGGGATTTGGAGGCGCGGGAAGCGGCCCCAACTGGTTGGAAGAGCAAAGGTTGGAGGAGAAGCCTTGAAAGGTTGGACGGCGGCCCTCCTGGTTGGAGGGACAAAGGTTGGAAGACGGAGGCGGCTCAGAGAAGGAGGCGGCTCAGTGGAAGGGCGGCCCTGGAAAGGTGGCGGCCCGCCTGGTTAAAGGGACAAAGGAGGCGGCTCAGTGAAGGCTGGAAGGGCGGCCCTGGAAAGGTTGGAACATGTGGAGTGGCCCCCCAAAGGTTGGAGGAGAGCCCCACATGGTTGGAGGGACAAAGGTTGGAAGACGGAGGCGGCTCAGTGAAGGCTGGAGAGAGGTGGCCCATGAAAGGTTGGAGGAGAAGCCCCCACAAAGGTTACACGGGCGGGCCCGCCTTGAATGGTTGGAGGGACGACGGTTGGAACACGGAGGCGGCTCAGTGAAGGCTGGAAGGGCAGCCCTGGAAAGGTCGTGTGGAGAGGTGGCCTGCCCCCACAAAGGTTGGACGGGCGGCCCGCCCACCCCTGAATGGTTGGAGGGGCAAAGGTTGAAAGCCAGATCCACAAAGCAGCAGATCCATTTCAAGAACATGCGTTTGCTTTTCTTGTCGGGTTTCTTGCTTGGGTCTCACCATCGGTTGTGGAAACTTTGGCTTATTTTCTGTCTTCTGTTTTTAGCCCCCAAAAAGCTTTTTGGGGTCGCGAAAAAACCACTTGTCCTGCTGAGGTCTCACCGTCCTCAACTCCCTGTTTAGACAAGCGTTTTCCCCTTAACCAAAGGTTCCATTTTGGGGCCCTTTCGAAAAAAGAGCGTTCATTTAATCCAGTAGACGCATTCAGCTGTTCTCCGTTTAGATGAGATGCAAACAAGGGTTCCAGTACAGGGCCGCAACAGAAAGGCTTGTGAGAAATCATTTTCAAAGCGGGCTTCCATGTCGGGACCATTCATGAGCTCCGCAATAGAACGCTCCATGTAGGAATCATGAAGATAGACTTCTTGACGCAAAGCTGTTTTAGGAGGGCCGCTAAACAGGCTCCCAATGGTTGGAGGGACGACGGGCTCAGTGAAGGCTGGAAGGGCGGCCCTGGAAAAGTTGGAAGAGGCGGCGGAGAGGGCGCACCCAAAGATTGGAGGAGGCGACCAGCGGCCCCCAAAGCCCCATCGAAACGAATTGAAACGAACCGGGCCTTGGCAAGGAACCGGCTGCGAAACGAAACGCCCGAAACGTACGGCGACTCAGGGCTATCGAATCGAACACACCGAAACGGACGTGCGCGCGAAACGGAACGAACCCAAACGAATCGTGAGAACCCTGCATTTTGGGTTTCCGTGCAAACCAACACTAGAAAGGGACACAAAGAACAAAACCGCACAACCCCTTTTAAGCCCCTTTCGACTTTCGACCAACCATTTCTTGGCAAAAAGGGCAGCAAAAAAAAACACTGACCCATTTTAAGCCCCCCACACACACACACACACTTGTGCAGTCCTCCCTCTGCAGTCTGATTGCTCTGCTATAAACTGAGGGATGAGACGAACCACTGTGGGTTTTGAAGCAGTTCACTTTTGTCTTCGAATCTGGTGTTTGGGCTTCAACTTCTGAGGTTTTTGGCTTAGCCTCATGCCATTTTCCGCGGGGGCTCCAAAATAGTCATCGTCGTCAAAGCGATTCAATTCGAAGAAACACTCGGGTAGCAGGTACGTGCGTTCGGCGTCCCGAACGCATATCACTGTGTTGCTCGGCCGTCTTCGTTGGCACAGGAGCCGAGCAGCACACCTGTGCCCCCTGCTGTGCAAAAAGGACCTGATGCGCAACAATCTCGAATGGTCACTCCACGAATTAAATTCTCCTGATTCAGAGATCATATGCCTAAAAATCTTGAAAGCCGCTCCGCGAATCAACGTCTTCGGACTCAGACCTGGTGCTACACCGGGGAACTTGCCGGCATTGCAAGTGTCAGTGGCTTAAGCCGCACTATAAAACAATAAGCGCCTGGATGCGCAATCGTCGTGAATGGTCCCTTGGCTCACAGGGGTGTCCACACACACACACACACAGCACGCGTGAAACCGCTGGCAACCGGCCTGCATGGCGCCCAAGTCGGCCGCCTGGAGGATGGTAGAAATATCCTCCTGAACGACTCTGGAGCGCCACCATTGGCGCCATGGTCAAAAATCGGGATTCGGGCTCCTGTTGGTTGGTCTCACTTCCTGCGCAGATTAGCCAAAAGAAGTCCCAAGCTTTTTGTCTGCCACTAAGGCCGACCCAAAAGTAAGTCCAGGAACTCAGGAAGTACGTGGCAACCCAACAGGGCAACCGGGGGACGACCCACTGCGTGGTCCGTTGGAACGGATCCTTGCCGGCACAACGGAAAATGAAGCAACATCTAGGCAGCAAGATGCATCATACGTACAAGTCTGGCAATTGTCAGCTCCAAATGGACCTAAATTTCGGAAAAAAAAAACTGTTTAAGGCCCCTGTTCAAGTACTGTTCGGTGAACGCAGTTGTCAAAACTCCCCCTTTTTGGGATTCGTCATCCTCTTTCTTTCCGACGAAAAAGGGACTTGTGCCAGGTGTAGAACTCGGAGCGACCTGATTCCCTCCAGTGCCCGGTCCTCTCGGATCTCCTCCGTCGGGTGCTTCCGCTGAAGGAGCCTCACCCGCCGCGACAACTGGGCCTTTCGGGAGTGAATCACTTCTCACTAGTGGACTGGCCTAAAAAGCTATTGCTTGCCAGCAACATGGCCTTCCCAAACAGTGTACCTGGAGTCTCCATGACCCTCTAAAAATGGGTCAATGAGCCCACTACTTTGGGTAATGACCCCATGTTTTAAGGGTCATGGAGACTCCAGGTAAAGTCCAGAAACTCGGAAGGCCAGAACCACATAGTTTACAAGTCATGTTGAGTACAGGTTCAATCGGCTCCATTTGCGCCTTGGGTGTCACCAACAAATGAGGATGCACCAATGATGACGTTCTCGAAGTGGAACAACCTGTCGTGTGTGTGTGTGTGATTCTTGAGGGTACCCCCTTGCCGGCTTTAAAGGGAAACCAAGAGGAAAACCGAAGCCATTTTGGGGGTGTCCGATTAGAAAAAAAAAAGCCACTCCATAAGCGAATCACCTTCAACACCTTCGACGTCTCAGACCCGACTCTTGGAGAGCCCGAATTCCCCTATGGAGAGCCCACCTCGACCAGTTCCGACCTGGAAATATAAACATGGACCCGATTCGCTTACTGACACACTGAACGGGACCCTGTGTGGATCCAAAGGGCCGGGAACAAAGAAACATGCAAGGAGTTGGCTATGATTCAACATTGTTCACTATATGGTGGCCCAGATAAGGGGTACGAGGGGAATGGCCGTGATTACACGCTTTTTCCAACCATTATGGAAGCGGACAAAACGCCGCAGGATGGTCTTTCAAACCCCTCCAGTCCGCTTTAATTCCCGAAGGCTAACACAGAAACCTCCCACCATAGCGTGGTGCTCAAGCCTCTGGAAACCGTATTTCTTGTGGAAAGTGAGTACCGCTATTGAAACCAAACTTGGCGTCATAGCACCTCCCTTGATTAACCAGGTTCCAAAAGCATGATATTAGGAGTTCCAGCCTCAACCAATCAACCGAGCCTACCACCGACACAGGCTGCCTTTTCGTCCACTGGCCACTGGTCTCTATGTTGCTCAAGGAAGGTTCTTACAGTTTAAAGGCAGCTTCCACTTGACCAAGGGGAACTTAAAAGCAAACCACACATGAGGTCTGTCAATCCCTACCACTGAAGATAACCGTTTATTCGGGTCGAGAAAGGGATCTCAGATTAGTATGAAGCAAGGCTTGACTTTTGGTTTGGCTTTCCCATAAAAGAAATGCAAAGCTCCCCAGTCCCTGACGTAAACCAGGCTAAATGCTCTGCCATTCATGGTTGGCTCAATTATCTTCGATTCGTGGAAGATGCGAGCAACAAATTGGATATGCACCGTTCAAACAAGCTAGAACACACAATGCAATGAAGTGAAGCAAACAGGAAGTCGCAAAAGGACTACCCTTGAGCAAATTCTAGTATGAACACGTGGATCATGTGCTTGTGGGGTACTAGTGAAGTCATCATCATAGGAGCAAGCTATTAGTTATTTTGTATTGTGTAAGATGTTTGCGTATCATTGCATATGCCGTCAATCCCATAGATGTGTGTAGTGGTTGCATTCCCATTAGACACTTTGGGGGTATATCCCATTTAACCCCCTAGGGTTGCCTTGCGTTAGTGGATGACATCTTAGAGAAACGACAAACCCAACCCAGAGGACCTGCGAGTATCTCGAACTACACTTGCGGTTTTTGGGTTGCTTCTTTCGGGCGTTCGTCAAATGCAGGCTCCTATCCGCAAATATGAGACAATGTTGACCCCACCTTGAGAGGAAAACAACCCCGCCCCCTATTAACCTGGACCATTCATATGGGGCCAACTTTCCCAAGGCAACCCTTTGGGAGCGCGCGACACGATTCACCTCGCAACCGAATCCATGGCCTCTTGAGCTCCTCCGTGGTTTTCGGCCCCGAGAGCAGGGCCTCTCTGACCTGCGACAGCTTCGGGTCCTATGAAGATTTGTGACTCATGGACGAAACGCAGCACGTGGAAAAACCCTGGAATGATGATCCCCATGTATATACCAACCAACAACTTCAGACTGGTGCAGATTCTATGTATATACCAACCAACAACTTCAGACTGGTGCAGATTCTATGTATATACCAACCAACAACTTCAGACTGGTGCAGATTCTATGTATATACCAACCAACAACTGCAGACTGGTGCAGATTCTATGTAAATACCAACCAACAACTTCAGACTGGTGCAGATTCTATGTAAATACCAACCAACGACTTCAGACTGGTGCAGATTCTATGTAAATACCAACCAACGACTTCAGACTGGTGCAGGATTTCGTCCAGCAACAGTTGTGGGTACCTGGTCGTACCTGCCTTCTTGTCGCCCCACATGGGAAGATTTCGATGGGGAACAAAAGAATCGGCGCTCTTTTTGTTGGCACGTAGTTTTAAAGGGAAATCGATCCAAACAAAAGGAGGCAAAACAAAACCTTACTAGTGTCAGGAAGTGAGTGGGAGAGGGTCACTGGCTTGCGACACCCCCAGTTGGACCCACAAGTGCTCTGATTTTTTGACGGAACAAATATAACAAATTGACGAACAAGGACTCCTAACAACCAAGTTGCTGCCAACTCGACACGCAATTAAGCAGCTGAGCTTTGCCATCAAACCCGAAGGGGGGGGTCTTTGTGGGGGGGGGGGGGCACCATTTCTTTAGTTGGATTGAAAGGAAAACCATTGGGGCAACAAAAGGAAAACAACATCTTTGCTGGGGCTCTTCAATTTTGACAAGAAGGTTCACAAGAGGAAGAAAGGTCCATAAGGATGGATCTCGGGCGGGCACCGCCCAAGTTTGAGTGCTACCCGTCATCACCCAATCACTAGTGATTGCGGCAAAAAGTCTTGCCCATGTGGGTGGTTGTTCTCGCCACAACAGTCCAAACCCTGTGGATAACTGTTCAGAGGCCTGCCGAAGGCGCCAAAAGTTGCTTATCCTTCACTATGTGCCCTAATATTGACCCAGGAGCAGCGATTTAATCCCGAATTGTGATTAAATTCCGAATCATGAAATTGGCAGCGACCTCCGGATCGCCACTCAGTAGATTCATGGTTCATGAATCGGCTTTCCCGGCTGTTCGGGTCCCAAGGGAGCTGCACTCCCATTTTCCGCCAGGATCTTAAAATTCGATTCTTGCGGAATTTGAACAAATTCGGCTATGGGCGATTTGGCGCTCACCAAGGCCCATAGAGAAAAAAACCCGACACCTCATTTTGCTCCCTCACCTGAGACCCCACAGATTAAAGCAGGGCACCACAAACTTGCACCAACTAGGTCCTCCAGATTTGAGGGTTAGGGTTTAGGGTACCATTTTTTGCTGTAGTCTATGTTAGGGGAACCCTCCCAACCAAAAAGGTGGAAAACCGAGCCAAGGCACCAAGCCCGGGGTTTTGATGGCTCAATCCCCATCGGCACCTCTGGCATCAGCTTGGCCCGGCTGCGAGTACCAGCGGCCTGTAGCTGGAACCGAGGGATCGTGTGCGCATTTCCTCAAACAAATCAACGAGATGATGTCATGAGGGCTGGGGGGGGGGGGGGAGGGGAGGGGGAGGGGGGAGGGAGCCCACATAAGCCCTTATGAAGCCCCGAAGGCCTTATTTGAGGCTTAGTTGGGCTCCCTCCCCCTCCCCTCCCTCCCAGCCCCCATGATAGTGTGATGAATGGAAACACAGGAGCAAAACCATCAGGGCAAAAGCGATCTTCTTGCAAACATCAGCAAAACCAACAGGGAACATGTCTTTCGAATAGGGGTGGGCCAACCCGATGCTTGAACATGTTTACACCATTGCTTAAACAGTCTGATTTGGGGTTACCTTTAAACAACTATGGTCTGGTGGTTTAAACACCTATTGCCCCACCCCTGGCGTGAATGCAGGGACCATGAGAAGTCCATACTTTACCACTAGAATGGTCTTCCCACAAAAGTTCGGGAACTCAGCAAGTGAGCTGTAGCAAACAGAAGAAAACAAAGTTCCTTAAACAACTTAGGTGATCAACACCTCTGTGATGGTTGACATCGGTTACCCTAGACTCCAACTTGCAAACAAATGTACCGCGAAACTGAAAGCTCACAATGCCTCAGAACCCGCAACTCTGACTGTCCTTTGATGGCCCTCTTGGGGAGTTCCATTGTCATAAATTCAGCAAGCCCTGCCCCGTCCCGTGTCCTTCAATATGTTCCGGTCAAAAACCAAGTAAATACCCTCCCTCAAGCCAACATGGACCGAGGACCCTTTGGAAAGATGGCTTCCGTTTTGTAGGTGCCTTCCCATGTTAGCCTTGGTATGTATTACTTTCCGCCTACACAAGGGCCACATAGGCCACATGCACCACATGGGCCACATAGGTTACAGCCAGGCCATTTTCCGATGGAACAGTTCGCCCTTCGGACTGGGCTAGGCCTGCATGATGGAAGTGCAACTGAAGGAACACCAAGGCGAAAAGTTGAAAAGTTAAGCCGAGCCTGGCATCGTGGAAATGGCTCATCCAAGTAATTGCGGGGGGGGGATGCACCTCCGATAGCGAAACACAAACACAACTCCATCAGGGTTCTCTATTCTTTGCTCCTTGTTGGCCTGAGAGGTGATACTTCACACTTCAAACCAGCCTGTGAAATAACATATTCAATCCTGGACACAGGGAATAACTCAATTAAAACAAAAATAATGTAAGGGTCCAAAGGGTACCTTCAAACGAAATTAAGTTGTCGGGAATTTCCTTACACTGGACACCTCAGCTTACGCCTCCTGGATGTATGCTGGCTGTGCGAGTGAGTAGATCCAAAAGCACTCGCAAAACAATTCCCAGGTGACACAATTGATTCCCTAAACATTGCCAGCTAAGTAGACAACAATAAAACGGCTGTCCCGTACCGGTGGGTGATGAACTTGCAATATGGTGGGAATCATCTCCTTTAGTTTAGCAGACCCCAATTAAATATCTTCAACATGTGCAATGCCGATGAGCCAATTACTAGTACCATGAATATAAGAGTTACCATGTACTCACTGACTAGGTCCTCCAGTAGAGAGGATATCATAAGGGCACCCTTTTTTTCTGCAGTCTATTTTAGTAGGGGAACCCTCCCCCAAAAAAAGGTAAAAGGGCACTACTGGGGGACCTAGCTGAGTAAGCCCCCTAATGAAGTGGGTTGCAAAGAGGTCGCTATCTACTTACTGAGTATTTCTGGTTTTCAGCCCTTGAGGTCATGACCCCGAACTGACCAATTTGATGGCTTAGTGAATCCCCTTTCATGAACTACTCGCGCCTGACGAGAGGCGATGGACGGGGCACCTGACGCCCAGGTTCTCCAAACACGCCGAAATGGGTCTGGGAAATGAACAGGGGGCGCAATAATTCGACTGGGCGGGGGTTGGGATGCCACAAAACCAAGCCATGACTATGGGAAAACAATGCAATCCACATGGGGGCAGGAGCTGGTCTATCCACAGCATGACTACTAGGTCGCTTCAAGGGGGATTCCCAAAGGGTTTCACAGAAAGTGACCCTAAAACGCCCACGTTCCGAGACCTTTTTCCGCGCAACAGGAGCCCTCTGCGGATTCCACAAGCCCTCAAAAAGGGGTGGTTTCTTTTTGGTTTCCCTTCAAACCAACTCCAAAAAGTGGTACCCTACAAACATGCACACATATTGATAGAATGAGAGGAAGAGAGAGAGAGAGAGAGAGAGAACGAGCGACGCACGAAAACAACACTCCCCGTGGGTGTTCTCAAAAGCAGGGCCCTTTTTGGTTCATGCTGCCATCCGAAGGGGTCGCTTGGTTTGGTTGATGGTCAAAGGGCACAAACCGCGTGAGCATCGCCTAAAGGGGACACCAACCGTTCGTCGCCACCTGTCAAAGGAAACATAGGTGCTGCCGGATTTGTGTATTCATCCATGGCGTGAAAATTTGCATTTTGTAGATGTGGTTATATACATCAAACGGCACGGTTCAGCTGGCAGATCCGACGTTATACTCATCAGCCTTTCTCTAAACAAGTGCCTCCAACTGGAAGTCAGGATTTTGAATCTGCACATCTTCCTAGACCCTCCAGCAGTAGTTTGAAAGAGAAGCCAAAGGCATACCACATGTGCCATGGTCAACATTCCTTACCTGGTTCATGGTCATGGTTCCCTCAATACAGCTCCTTATGATGCTTGTCAAAATTCTTTATGGGCTCCATAGCCATCCCTGCGTCCTTGAGTGTACAGGGCTTGTTGCCGCTGCACATAACTCCATAGCCATCCCTACTGACTGCAAACATGACGAGCATGAAGGGCGTTATGATCATGGCACACATGAGGGTGTGTCTGTCTGTGTGTCTGTGTTTGTTTTTGAGGCGACCCTGTTTTTCAGGTTGGTTTGGCGGAACCAAAAGGACCACTGATTGTCATTCAAGGGTCCCCCAAAAACGCCGTGGCATCCCAACACGGATGGGGTCTCCAAAGCCAAAGAGTCTTTTAGGGCACTCTTTTCAGGTTCGTGTAGAGAAGCCGAAAGAACGACAGTTTCTATTTGGTGGGTCCCCTAAAACACGGACACCCGCCAAAGGATCCACGAAAAAGGATCCAGCCAGCCCAGCCCGCGGGGAGCCAAACATCTGCCTGCATTGGCTCCCGTGGATCCGGCCTCGCGCGCGCTCGCAGGCTCGCGACCGGCGAGGGCGGAACGGGGATCTCTCACAGCAGGGTCGCCACTGCCGGTGGCAAAAATATATATATATATATATATATATATATAAAACAAATCCTAACACAAAAAAAGTGTTGGGGCAGTTGCCCTTCTGTTCCCTTCAAACAGGCAGAGAAAAAAAAAAAAAAAACCTCCAAAGAAAAAAACATGCTGGGACCCCAATGGGGAAGCTGCCCTTCTGTTCCCTTGAAACACAAAAAGCGTGCCCTTTCGTCAAGACCTCACTTCTATCGGTACCCTGAGCATTCAGGGTCCCTTCGCTCAGACAATGCGAACCGGAATCTCGAAGTCGTGCTTTTTGAAAGCAACCTCACTTCCCGCGGGGATTGATCACCAAAATGCAACACCTTTGTGAGCTGCGTTCGTCACTAAAGTAATCTTCTCAAAGGGATAGAAAACCAGGAACTGCAGAAGGGAGAAACCTGGAAATGGACGGGCGCCTACCCAAAACTGAACCCCAACCCTTGTGCATGTTTGGCAGCTACTGCTCTCCCATGTTTTTCCCCCGTATCTTCTATGGCAGTGAGGCACAATCAAACCTGGAAGCAAAGGATCTACCTTTGCCGGATGCTAATTTGCCAGTAAGTTCTGTGTTCTCGAAAGAAAACCAAAGGGCATGGGGCATTGGTGTGGTGTTTCAGACCCCCTGATTGAGTTCCCGGCACCAGTGTGACAATGTGACAAGCTGACGATTGCAACATGAGTTGACAAAGGAGACATGGATTTATGCACATTTGCATACCTTGTGTTGCCTTGGTTTGGGACTTTTCGCACGTATATGCACCACCTCTCAAAGGATAATCAAAGTCCTGTTGTTTTCCCAATGACCCGCAAGCAGGAAGCTGGCTGCAGCATGGCACACTTCCCCCCCCCAAACAAAAAAAAACACTCCAGATAATACATTGCTATATGTAGGATATGCGGATATCTTTTGCCTTAAAAGGCATTTCAACTTGCGGGGGCACTAAATTTACGAAAGGCACGGCCTTTAGAAGGGCACGATGACCGAATTAAGTTTAAAACCCACTGCATCTTCATCTTCATATCTTCCCAGGTTCTGGTGATTTGGAACCAGCTCGGGGAATCAAAGGGCGTGTCGCGTTTGAAATCAAGGAGTGCAACCCGTCTGATGTTTTTTTGTTTTTTTTTTTTTCCAATAAAGTCGTGGGGTAAATCCATACTGCCCATGCGGTTGATTCCTAACTTGGTGGTCCAACTTGATTATCTTGGACACACAGAACCCCCCAAATCCCAAATGGCCAAATGTCACGAATCCCTCGAAAGTCTCAAGATCTCTCAAAGTTCCTAGGGGTTCATTCCATTTCCATTCTTTTCAACCATCCTTCCTTCTTTTCAAACACCGATCGCTGTTTCCAACCTGGGGTTCAACGATGGTTTTCTGGAAAGATTCGGATCCCTGGAAAGACTGGGGCAGTGTCCCCTAGAAAAATCAGGAAGGAACCCCACGGCCGGTAACCGCCACCAAAGCCCAGCCTTCACGACTTCCACTCGCCGAGACT